AAATTCAAGGAAATTATGCGTAGTTTTTGCCTAAAATATGTATAGAGTACAGAATAAGATGAACTGTCATGAATAAAACCATTATACTTGCGAAATAGCAGTAAATCGATCTGATGGCATTTAATATCACTTGAAAATCATGATCTCAGGTGGACACTATACCTACCGTGTTACATAAAATGAGACCACCATGCAACGACCTAAATTATGCTTAAACAATAAACGAAAAGTAAATATGTCAAAAAGCAACCAAAATAGTTACCATTAAGATTGGATACTTCAACTTACTAATATGTTTATCGGTGATGTGAACTTTTACAACATTCTATCAATTAAATAACGTTTTTGTTTAACAATGTGTTTTTCTTTTCAAAATATATTAAATTGGATTGAGCAACAGGATTGGCATTTGCAAGCCTCTCCTAGAGAGAGAATACATCGCATACACAAACGTATGACAACACAAAAAAATATTTCATTATCAAAACTATCTTACACCTGAATCGTTAAAATAATTAACATGGTGTTGCTCATGTAATTAAAACTGATTGAACCGCATTAATCAAAATTCACACAAGAGAAGACAATTCTATACTTTAAAACTACTGTATACACATTGGTACAAAGAATGAAATAATAATATATAGTATACAAAATAAATTGTGCACATGACAAGATAAAAATGTTACAATTACTATACAAGATCATTTAGTTATTATAATAGAAAAACAGATTGACAAAGGCTAACCAGGAATACCTACACAGCTACCTATGAATAGAATGGCATTTAATGTACCGCGGCAACTATTACATGGATATTCAGGCTGAAAAAATGTTTATGTGATATGTTTACGTGGTGTGGATGTATTTATCTTTCACAAGACTATCACGCTGAGTTGGACATTTATGGTCTACCTCTTAACATGGTTTATTCCCGATTGTCCCACTTTTTTAAAATTTTAGAGTTCTGATTGTCCCACATGAAAAGTTCTGATTGTCCCACATTATTTTTATATCTTAAATGTTCTTAGATAAACAATGTAATCGTTGTTTGTTTTGCAATATCTAATTAAAAGTAAATATTGCATGAGCATACTAGTAGTTGATATCCATTTTATAAATTTTATAAATGTAAATATGAATTTTTGAATAAAATCATCAGTTGAAATGAACTTTTGATGAAACAATATACCATATATCATGTTTATGTATTGTATATGTATAATAAACGATATCTATAATGTTAGGTTATTTATAAATATAATATCAATATTTTTTTTATTTTAAAATTGTTATTTAAATTTTGAACACATAGACGCAATTTTGACTTCTTTTCACTTTTAAGAGCGCTCAGACTGAAAGGTCTAGAGACTTATTTAAGAAACAATCAATTACAATCACAATGTAACATAAGCATGCACAAGCTATTTTGTTACCTAATAATTAGAATTGATATCATCAATTTGATAAAATAGTTGGCAAGGTCTCAACCTATATTCTCACTTAGGGAAAAGAGATAAACGTGCCCCATTAATGTCATCAGAGTCATTTGAACATATACACTGTTTAACGTCCAGTGGCAAGTTAAAAGCAGGACGAGAACATGTTGGTGTTAGATGAATATGAAACTCTCTTTGAAAATAACTAGACCGACACAGTCATCAACCTGAATTTTTAACATGCTAGTTCACAAGATAACAGTCCGCAGGAAGACATGTCACCCTGCACAGACACATCATTCTAAGTAAGGACTGACCAGTCTTTGCTCTTAGTCCAAAATTCAGCGTGCTTTGAGGAGAAGCAGCAAATTCCAACTTTCTGTTCTTTGGTTGGAACCAGATGGGGATCAATTTCTTTTTATTATTTAAAATAGACCAGATATCTATACAATCAACATATCTGTACATTATATCGTTTTATGTTCAAGGATTTTCTTATTAATATTTAAAAAAAAACTTTCTCCATTTTTGTTCGCTTGAATTGAATGCTTACTTAAACAATATTATGATCAGACTAATTATGGAGAATATCTTTTAATTTAGTTTTATTTTATCCTTGATACTTCTCAATATTTCAATTTACAGTTTATGTTATAAGAGTCTATTCAATATTTTATTAAGTTAAAATATATCTGTTTTTTTTCTATAATTGTTCTTTATTTGGACAGTCAGTAGTTTAACAAAATATCACAGAATAAGATGTTTATTTTCTTTTGTTTCCTATTCTGACATCGGACTCGGACTTCTGTTAAACTGAGTTTTACTGTGCGTACTGTTGTACGTTTGTTTTTTCTACATTGGCTAGAGGTATAGGGGGAGGGTTGAGATCTCAAAAAACATGTTTAACCCCCCCCCCCCCCCCCGCATGTTTGCGCCTGTCCCAAGTCAGGAGCCTCTGGCCTTTGTTAGTCTTGTATCATTTTTAATTTTAGTTTCTTGTGTATAATTTGGAGTTTAGTATGACGTCCATTATCACTGAAACTAGTATACATATTTGTTTAGGGGTCAGCTGAAGAACGCCTCCGTGTTCGGGAGTTTCTCGCTGCATTGAAGGCCCATTGGTGGCCTTCGGTTGTTGTCTGCTCTATGGTCGGGTTGTTGTCTCTTTGACACATTCCCCATTTCCATTCCCAATTTTACCATCTTTTCTCCAGGTGTATTTAAAATTTTATGAGTTACATAAATACCTGTAATTACCTGCAACACTCTTTAAAATCAAAGTAATCACTATCAAAACAATTCTCAAATGTCCCACATTTAAACTTCCCAATTGTCCCACAAAATTTCATTACTTTTTACCTGTAATTTCAAAAAGTGGGTAAATCGGGAAGACACCCTCAACATTATTGTGGCTCCAAGATACTTATATTTGGTCTAACTTTTAAAGGTAGTGTGTATCGATACTCATATAAAAAAATGATTAAATCCGACTGGAATCCAATCCATAACCTCCTTCATTCGAGCCAAGCACAACGTTCATTGCATGCGGCACCACTGATTCAGTATCTCACCTACCGTACCAATACTTGGACTTGAAATCAATGATAAAAGGCAATTTATGATCGCCATGAAATCGGTAAAAGACTAGAGGTGATCGAAATGTACGTTCAATGATTCCATCTGCCGACATGGATACAGATAGTGAGATTGATTGATTGAATGATTGGTGTTTATCACCACTTTCAACACTCTAGTCAATTAAGATTGGAGTTGAGTGCACCTGTCCCGTACGGGAATCGAACTCACAACCTCAGTGTTGACAGGCTAGTAGTTCGACTACTTAGACCACTTGGACACCGAGGCCCCTCAGATAGGAAGAAACCGAAAAGCAAAATAAAAAAATCGGAATTCAAATTTACGGGAATACACGTGTATTGGACCATTTTGTTTGATTGAGTATTGCTTAAAGTATAGTAGCGATATTTACATACTTCATATTACCACGTTATTCGGCTTACTGCGAGTTGGTCAGTTTTTACTGTTCTTCTAAATGATGGGCGCTTTATCAAGCAAATGAAGTTTCGGCAAAAGTGTAGAACAAACACAATTATAAAATGGGAGTAAACTATCCATTCTAGAATTCCCTTTGTTCATTACGACCAATAAATTCGAAATTCGCTGTTATCTTTTGATTAAATGTGAAAACCAAATAGTTATGAATAAATTACCGGAAACGCTTAAATATTTTTTTTTTCAATTGAAAATGATTCTATTCATTTTGGTCTTTTTACTTACTTCAGAATGATCATAATCAAAGTGATTCTTTTTTTAAAATTAAGTCTCCGTTTTTGAGAAATATTTATTTTCTTATACAATTTTTCTCCGCTTTTAATTATTTGGTGAAATTTTCAAAATTTCAAAAATTTCAAAAATTTGGAATGTTGGTATTTTAAAACTTTGATAAAAAATCAAAAATACTAAAATCTCAAAACTTTTTAAAATTTTGAATTGTTAATTAAAAGTGTTACACGGACCTTGTATACATGAGGGTAGGAATACCCTTAACCGTCAGGCGTCAAACGGTCATTTTCGGCTACCGTTAGCGTCAAATTGGTTAAAATTTTATCGTGATTCGTCAAAATATTCTTAACGTGAGTCGTCAGAGGTCTCAAATAATTTACCGTTACCTTTATTTTTGGAAAGAATTTAACGTGATTCGTCAAAATCAGTCGATTATTTTACAGTCATAAAGAAAGCGTTCATTTTATCGTCATGCACCAAAACTTACCGTTTACGTCATTTGGCCAGATTTTTTTTTGCGTTATTCGTCAAGAAGGTACCCCCATTACGACCCTCATACATCAGCTTGGGGATCGGCTTGTACACTGAGTTGTGTATGTAACTATTTGTTATTACACCCATTAAAAGACTTGTCAAGATCACAGTCAATTGAAAAAATGCCAATTACTGCTGACTCGTTAATGTCGATGGTACTAAATTCTGTTATATATGTTTTTATTATAATTATGCATACCCAATAGTCTTGCAAACTCAGTTGTAATAAAAACATAATCAACATAATTGTTTTATACTGCATAATCATCCGTATTCATTTAAAGTGATAATTTGATTTGAATTCAACATTTTATATTAAAAATAATATTATATTTCTATATGAAATCTTAATATAAATTCAAAAAAAATATTCAAATAAATGTCTCATCTTATGAAAATTTGATATTAAAATATTCGTCAAAGGCCAACTTTTTTACCGCCCATCTTTTATATATTATTATAAAATTCATGAACATTTATGAATTGCACTGAATTCATATATATCTTTATCTTTATTCTTTATAAATATTTTTTAATATGGGACCGGATCGACTTGGGTCCGCATCGTCATGAAAGCGAATAAATATACGTAAATTTTAACGAGTATCTTTTAAAAAGATTTTCAGCAATACATCTCAGTGATCACGGGTAGTCAAGTCTGTAGCTAATTTGTTTTAGAGTTTAGGTTTTAAACGAACCGGAAGTAACTATTCCGCGCGAAAATGAGGCAATGGACAGCGTGAAAAAATGTAAACAGAGCAAAAATCAAATGCTACAAAATAAGTTTGCATTGTCTGTTTCCATCCATTTTTCAAAAGTACATCCTAACAGTAAAACTGTGTTAAATTTTAATGTGAAGGAAATTTAGTTACAAATAATTTCGAGCCAGAGGCTTGTAAGTTGTCTCACATTTTTATGGTTCATCATAACAAACGAGCAATATGTGCCTGTCCCAAGTCAGGAGCCTGTAGTTCGTTGGTTCATTTCTGTCATAATTTTTTTTTTCTTAAATTGTTCAGTGAAAAATAAGGCTGCTAGTTTTCTCAATTGAAATGTTTCATGATTTTCATGCTTGTTATGCATCGTTACCACAATATCTTGAGAATACCCCTAAATTGAGTGAATGTCAACCCGAGAACCGATAGATGGCACCCAAAACTTTATTTTTTATGGTATTATGCATTATGTGTGAATAAGGATGTTGGACGTGATTTAATTTTTCATTTAAAAAGGAAAAGAAAGATGTCCCGTGCTATATTTCACTTCTTTATTTCATCTGTTGACATTACGTTTCAGTACCCAATTAGTAAACAGAGATGCAAACAGTTTTTTTTTTTCTGTCAGACATTGGGCCTACAGGGTAGTAAGTTTTGCCAGACCCATCAAATTTTTGCCAGACCTATATTTTCACTCAAAAATAAAATGAGACGCTTTTGAATAATTAATTTTTATTTTTGTTGTATATTATTGTAATCTGCGATTCATATTCATAAACATTGAAGTTTATTCAATATATTATTACATAAATGGTGACCCAAGAGTTATTCCTCACAGGAGTACTTTGACACAAGATAATCTAATTGTTCTTACGCCAATAATTGGCATAAGAACAATTAGATAGAAAAAAAAAGACAGTGGCAAGCTACATTTGTACGTCAAAACAAATAAATATGTTCATACATTAACTAAAATGAAGAAAAAAACACTCTTAGAAAACTAAAATAATACTTGTTTTTGTTTAATTTTATAATTTACTTAAATCTGGTCATTACAACATTAGTTGTCCCTTAAAAGAACTTTTGATTTTCAGTGCTTTTCAACTACATAATTGAGTTGGCCATCTATTGTTCCAACTATTCATGCACCACTGTTGTGTCATATGGAGATGAAACTCGTTTTTTCATACTAACAATGTTCTCGCTGTGGCGATTTATTTGCGCCATGGACGCATGGTTTTCTGTCTGGACGCGCCATTGCATGAACCGTGCGTACTAGGAACTCGTCTTATAACACTTGCTGAGTCTTGTAACTAATCGTCTGAATTATCCCTCAGCTATCAAAAAGAAGATGAAACATGCTTCTACTCAATATTTTTACCGGAAATTTACTTTCTTTTTCATTGCTATGTGTAATAATAAATCCCAAGAAATACGAAAATAATTATGATCACATGACTTAAGCTAATTGGATAAATGCAAAGAAGATCGAAATATGTTTACATCAGCACGTTTACCTATTACCGGCAATAAATGTGTCATTAGAACTTTCAGTTTTCATTGCCTTTCAACTACATTATTAATTTGGAAGCCAAGGTTACAAGAACCAACAGAAATTTCAATTTTGACGGCCCCAAACAGTAAAAATATTTGCCGGTCATTGGGTCTGACACAAAGACGTCATTTGCTGGACCCTCTAAAATTCTGCCCCCCAGGTCCGACAATTAGTTCCATCACTGAGTAAAAATAATAGCAGAAATATTACAAGTGTTCTTAGAGCCTTACCATTTGTATTTTAATTATTCGATATTATACACGTCTTTCAACATAGCTAGATATATTTAAATATACTCAAAACGTTCACAGTATATTTTAACAGATGAAGTATTCACTGGAAAAAGTATATTCTATGGAAAAAAAAGTCATCTTTTAAAAATGGGCAATTAGAATATGTTACCATGGTTGCAGGCATCCTTTTCTTAAAAACTGAGTAGTAAGCATTGACTTTTGTCAAATTGTTCTAAATATTTGAAGAAATAAATCAAAACATCAGTTTTTTTTTAATTTTTACCCATGTGAATTTAAGCATGGATGCAATTTGGATACTCCTCATTACAGAATCATAGATTTTTTTTTTATCTTTTATTTGTTTTTCAATAGTCTGGATTTAACATACATGTACCCCTACATTACCACCTGACAAGGATATCAAGGGGTTACATATAAAAAATAGTTCACATGGTTCAGTATACAATATATATCACTGACAAGTTGATTTTTATAATTATACATTTAGTATTTAAGGTTACATATAGAATCATAGATTGATTGTAGGTCGGTTCAAATCCATTTTTCTATGATTCAATATGGATGCAAAATTAAATTGGTGGAAGTATATAGCAAATAAGGATATATCTACAAAATAAACACAGCATGGAATCTTTTGTCTGGGTCATAAACTTAGGTGACAAAACTGTCAGAATAAATGCAATTTGGGTACCCTCACGTTATACATGTACAGTCAGGGGTACTACTTGTACAAGCAGGGGTTTATTTGGGTATTTTGGGGAAAAGGACCCTGGTCAGTTTTGGGAATTTTTTAACACGATTATCAATGAAATTGGGAAAAACAACCAATATACCAGATGTTAGTTTTAGTGTATTTAGTTCATTAACAATTTTCTTTTTTGGTGAAAATAAAGTAAGAAAATCCATGACAAGTAATCTTTATTTACTTGAAGAAGTAAAAAAATACACTTATATAAGTTAATTATAATGTTTGAATAATCTCCCCTTAATTTTTTCAAAAATTCACTTGTATAAGTAAATTTTTTTTACAATCCCACAAAAATTCTCAAGTTTTGAGATGTAAAAACATGCCTTTAATGATTTTTCCCAGGTAAGCTTATAATTCTTTATTACAGTTCAATGTTTCATCTCATTAATTCAACAAAGAAACTGATTGTGCAAAGATCTTAAGTATTTGCGCAAGGCCTTCAAAAATTGCTCCTTGGGGGCTTGTAAATTAGCAGTGTTCTGAAGATAACAGACAAATGAGATTTTCATTGTCCATGAAATTACATTTAAATGATTAGTTAAGACATCTGCAAAGGACAGACAATTTAAAATTCTATAAGACATTTGTAAGAGCAAAGAAGTCCTAAGAATTCAAGAAAAGAAGATAGGATGACTTTTTCACTTATATAAGTAAAAAAATCTGAATGTCAAAGGGACATAACTAAGCCAATTTTTAGCTCACCTGGCCCGAAGGGCCAAGTGAGCTTTTCTCATCACTTGGTGTCTGTCGTTGTCATCCGTCCTCGTTAGCTTTTTACAAAAATCTTCTTCTCTGAAACCATTGGGCCAAATTTAACCAAACTTGGCCACAATCATCATTAGGGTATCTAGTTTAAAAAATGTGTCTGATGACCCCGCCAACCAACCAAGATCGCCGCAATGGCTAAAAATAGAACATAGGGGTAAAATGTAGATTTTGGCTTTTATCTCTGAAACCAAAGCATTTAGGGTAAAACTGATTATCAGGTCAAGATCTATCTGCCCTGAAAATTTCAGACAAATCTGACAACCTGTTGCAGGGGTTCAAATTAACATTTGGTACTTGAAGGTCCGGGACCTTTGACACTCCAAACTGAAAGGTCCACAACCTAAATCCCAGGTCCTACTTTTACATGAAATATTTTTCATTAAGATACAAAATTAATGTGCTTTTGGTGCTAAGTTACATGTAGCTTGTTTCATCATACATTTGTATTTAACAAGTTTACAAATAATATATTGCCATGCAACCATATAGACCAAACTGTCAGTGTCGCTGTGGTATTACATGTATAACAATAAATGTAATTGTCTTGTATATTATAAATTCCAACAAATTTTTTTTTTTTTTGGTGCTGGGAAGGGTGTCACTGTGCGTGTGTGTGTTGTCTCAATCATTGACAATTATACCATAATCTGTTATTGATGTAAAAGTGGCAACACCAACACCATTTTTGCTCTGGATTTCAAGAATAAATTCGTAGTCAGTGAAGGGTTTCCCTTTTTTTGCAACACTATGCAGTGTTGGAGAAAACCTTACATCTATTTAACTGATCAGGCTTACATTGCTGCTTGTGAATACATTAGTGTCTGACAATAAATCTTTAGACTTAAAATTGGGTCACTTTCATGTATCCACTGCTTTAAACAAAATAAATGCTGGGGTGTCACTTCGTGTATTTTTATTGGGTCTACTTTTAGATTTTGTGTTCCCCTTACTAGTGAACTTTCTTTTTTTGAATGGGTAGGGAATTTCTAGCAGTATATAAACAACATTGGACCAGTTGATTCGATCATCAAAATATAGCCACAGTCGATAGATTTTCAGTTGAGCTTAAATTTCCGTTCCCGTTTTCACGATCGTATTTTTGGTCTTTAATGAGATCTTCATTTGATTTCTTTTGTTTTGTTCCCAAGGTTGACGTTGAAGCCCACCGTTCATCATCTTCAGGCTTTCCCTCAAAGACCTGACACAAATGAGACACAAACTCATTTTGTTAGAAAATGTCTAAATGATTTGTCAAGTGACCTATCGCAACTATTTATAACCTTGTGTATGGTCGGCAAGGTCAGGAATGAAACATTTTATCTTAATTTCAATAATAATATGGCTTTGAAATGACGATACTAATGGTGAAAAAGGTCGGCAAAGTTAATTTTTATTTTCTTTCAAATTGAAGGTCTGTCGGGCAATACATTTTTTGTACTAGTAACCAAAACGAAAGTCGGATTGCAGCAGTGGAAAGTCACGGACCTCGGACCACCACTAATTTGAACCCCTGCTGTTGTTGGGTTGCTGCCCCTGAATTGGTAATTTTAAGGAAATTTTGCAGTTTTTGGTTATTATCTTGAATATTATTATAGATAGAGATAAACTGTAAACAGCAATAATGTTCAGCAAAGTAAGATCTACAAACAAGTTACAGTGTATCATGACCAAAATTGTCAGCCAGCCCCTTTAGGAGTTATTGTCCTTAATAGTCAATTTTTAACAATTTTGGTAAATTTTTGTAATCTTTTACAAAAATCTTCTTCTCTGAAACTACTGAGACAAATTTAACCATACTTGGCCATAATCATTATTAGGGTATCTAGTTTAAAAAATTTGTCTGATGACCCCGCCTTCCAACCATCATGGCCAACTTGGTTACAAATAGAACATAGGGGTAAAATGCAGTTTTTGGTTTATATCTCTGAAACTAAAGCATTTAGATCAAATCTGACAGGTGGCAAAAATGTTCATCAGATTTAGATTTATCTGCCCTGAAATTTTGAGACGAATCCGACAACCCGTTGTTGGGTTGCTGCCCCTGAGTTAGTAATTTCACAAAAATTTTGCAGTTTTTTGTTATTATCTTAGATATCATTATGATATCTAATATCTAATACTATTAATTATGATTATAACCTTATTTAACATGATTTCCAAAGCATCAGTAAATACAGGTGAGCGACACCGGCTCTTGAGAGCCTCTAGTTTTTTTACCTATACAAGCAAATAAAATACATTTGTATAAGTATCCTACAAATTTACTTATACATGTTATATAAGTATGTTAATATTACTTCTTCAAGTAAATAAAAATTACTTGTACAAGTAGTACCCCTGACTGCTGTACATGTAAGGTAACTGTTTTGTGTATATTGAAGAATATTATAGGCTGTGTTGAAAGACGTTCATAATGGCAAATAATTAAAATGCAAATTGTTTAGTCTCTAAGAAAACCTATAAGACTTCGTCTGTTTTTTTTTTTGCAAAATGGATTTGGTTCAATTTGGGTTCCGTGGGGGATGTAATTTACAATTTGTATACCTTTTTACATACCGATTGCTACACTAGATTTTCAAAAATATCACAATTGCCACAAGTATTGACATTTCAGAAAGAATAGTGTGAATTATATATATAAAAAAAAGTTGGAAGTTCTTATAATTGGCTTTGTATGAACAAATAATGCAATATATCACAATAAATGCATCTTACAAGCCAAGATCAGCCAACACATGTTGTAAACATCCTCATCAAAGCTGTACAATATTTTGTTTAAGACAACCATTCATGCTGCATCATAAGTGCTAAAGCTAGTGAATTCAAAAATGGCTAACTCTTTTTATATGTTTTATTACAGAGTGAAAGAAAGAAATGCTATTTAGATGAGAGAAGATTATGGCTTCTGATTCCTCAAGGTATATATTTAAGAACAATTCGGAATATTAACTGGTTAATGATGTTCAAAATATACATTTTTGAATGAATTTGGTTATCCACAAATTTCTTTTTTATGATATACATGATATACATGTTAAATAAAAGTTCTTTTTAGTGCTAGATATTTAGTTGGCAGTTTCTGACAAGAGGAAAAATATAATTGTGTAACTATAAAAAATTACCTTAATTAAAATTGAGAATGGAAACGGGGAATGCATCAAAGAATAACCCGACCAAAGAGCAGAATAGTCTTCTTACATGTAGGTATAAATGAACAATATAAAGATTAATTAAAATTTTGTTTTAATAGACACACAAGAAAAATATTGGAATATTGGTCTTCGGACTAGTAGTTGAAAAAATTTTTGGTGCAGACTGACATATATACTATATTGCATGTGTAAGGTATTTCTTCAACATTTACTCTGAACCCACCCCAACCCAATATTTATACTGTTTCAAAGCAAAGTACTGTTAATGTTGAAAAAATGTCTTGACACATGTATTGAACAACAACGTTATATTTATACCCTTAATCAGTAAGTCAATTAAACCAAAACAAAAGATTTAAATGGTACTCTTTGTTTAGGAGGCCTTCCAAAAGAAAGTCAACAGCTCCAGGCGATGCTGATAGTTCATCAGCCAAACATGTGAGAAAGTGTGAACGTACAGGATGTCCAGCTAAAGCTCCAATATGTTTTGCTTCAGCTTCAGAAAGGTATGTTGATTTTTCAGAATTTTGTCTATAAGAAGAGTCTGAAAGAAATTCCTTTTCTTTTTATGACAAAAGGCAGGAAACAGATATATATATAAACAAATTTTTGGCCTTTTGATTTTATAAGTCTTTCACCGTTGAAAATTGAGTGTTGGTTTCCCCTAAGAAATGGAACTTTTCATAGGTCTGCAGGCAAGAACAAATTTTTTTTTTTTACTATTTTTTTTGGCAAAAAAATCAATTGAGGCACAGCAGTTATTCTCTTTAGATATTATTTTCTTAATCTACTGACGGGACATTCTGAAGAAAAAAATTGGTTTGACCTTTTATCTTGATCTATATTGTGATATAAGGCAGATTTTACAATAAAAAGGAAGTATTGCTTTTTTGTATCCATCAAAAAAGGTATTGCTGAAACTGTGAAACAGAGTGTGAAATGAAGTAATGCATTATTTTATTTAATAAAAGGTGTCTTTCTGAGTAAATAAAAATAAAAATCACCCTGTGTTTATGTTTTTTGTTAGAATTAGTGGGTTTTCAATTTCAAAATATTGGACATTGAATAGACATTGTGACCTACTTGACTGACATCTAGCTTATTTGGAGTGGAATTTTAAAGTATTATTTTTAAGTGGAGCCTAATAACATGGACTAATATTTTAATAAAAAGTATTCTTTTGTGTTTTAATTATAATTCTAAGGCACATTTTTATTGGTAAAGGCTAAAAAAGGTAATTTAATAATATTATTGCGAACGTCACATCTTTTTCGTCCATTGTGGTATGTTACGATCGCAATTTATTTGTTGGTTCTCAGACGGCCCGTTGTTATTTTTAACTCGGGTTTTATAAATAATTGATATAAATAGCAATCACATTAAATTTTGATGACGAAAGGGGGTCAAAGGACTTTCGGAATCAATATCATTGGCTGTTTTAGTTTTTGCGAACGTTACTGCTCTACGTTTCCGTCCAAATCAATGTCACGTGAGCAATATATATTTAGATATGTAACTCTCCTGTATAGGAGTTACGATATCGCCCTTTGCAGAAATGGATGCGGAGCCGGTTCCCTCACATAATGGGAAAGCAAAGAAGGTAAGTTGTCTGTTATATCGTTACACAAGGTCCTTTATTGTATTCCGTCCATCAAAAAGACATTCGCAACAAAACGTTGAATCAAGTAATGTCATTTAAATGTCACATTAAGAAACTTTTGTTTTGGTTTTTCATCTCCCAACGAGATTTGACCATATTTTACGTACAGTTGAGTCTTCTAGTTCATCAAAATACATTTCTTTTAATAATTTGATGCGAACGGTATAACATGGACAGATTTTTATGTAGCGATCGTTACTTTGGGACAGTATATTGTTGATGTGATGTTATATAAGAAAATTAAAACAGTCTAATATAGTAATGAAGGGGCGCTCATTACTATATATATTTGAAGGTAATAGTCTTTCCTTTTCGAAGAGCTTCATACCACATCTTCTATTTTTATAATAACAACTTAGTTCATAAATTGCCAAAATTAGTCCAGTTCTTAAAATTGTCAAAATTGGCATAAAAGTCATTGCTCACAGACAAATTTACCAAATGGTAAACATACATTTGATTTTTTAGGGGTATCTTAGCATAATCTCGGGTAATCATTAAAAGAAGATGGTAACTTGAACTGTTCTAGCTATAATTAATGATGACAACATATCTTTAATTACCATATGTACTGAAAGCATTCGGCAAAAAACTATGTCTTGATTGAAGTAAATTTGAAGGCAGTACTTCAATACATTTTAAAAATTTTAATAGTTCATTTTTTAAATTGTATTCATATACCAGTAATATTTTCAATTTATTTTCTTTCAGATGCAGTCCTCCAGAACTAACAGAGACGATAAATTTTTCAAACATTAAAATATTTTTAAGCTTCTTAGTCTAGGCAGTATTTTCGACTTTTGAATGCAAATGCATCATGAATTAAATGGGCAAAGCAAGGTGTTCTGAAGACTACAAAAGACTTTCTTTACCAAAATCCATGGTGAAAGTCATTGAGGCATTGATCACTATGGTATTTCCATCTTCACTGCGAATTGATTTGAGATTGTTCATTCTTTTGTTGTTTGATGTTTCTTGGTAGACATTACATGGGCATTTTGGCTTGTGCTTCATAAATAATCCATATCCCCCTTCTGTTTTGAGTGCCAAAGGTTGCAGGTTAAATTCGTAGCCAGATAAAATAAGACATTAAAATTGGGTCTTTGCTGCTTCTCATCCAAGCCAAAAGCATCTAGGAGTAAAAGCAAAGGTCAGCTTACAGAGGCAACAGAGTCTGTATAATGTGTCTTTGTGGAAAATCCATCTAAGCGTGTCGGTCTAGTACAAAGCAGAGATCATATTACATCAACTTGTTCTCGTCCTGATGTGCACATACTAGGTTGACACTGGACGTTAAACAATAATTAATCCATCCATCCATAAAATCTGGTGTGTCAGTCTGGTACAAAGAACAGTTCTTATTGCATTTGGTACTCATATCATATCAACATCTCAGTTCACGACTAAAGATATGAACAGATCTAGAAGAATCATTCAGTTACATCTGAAAACTTTTTCGATAAAGATATCATGAATCTTATTTTTCACCTCCTGTAACAATTTTGGCCCTATTTAGTGCGACCCATCTAGATAGCAAATTTTCTTAATGTATTACTGAAGAAGATGTTGCTAATGTTACTATTACAAATTGGTTTCTTGTGTATTCATTTGATACAAAGTACACCTGCCAATGACATTCTGTATATTTAGATATTCTAAACCAAACTGTACAATTTAATTACTCAAAGCATTTATAAAGCACGACTGTGTGCATACATTTTATTTTTTAAAGATGCTGTTGCTAATGTGACATGTCCAAATGTCGCTAACGTTACTCACTTTTGTCTCCGTCACATTAGCAACAGCCTTAATTCAAAACATGTTTTCTTTTAAGAATCTGGCACAAATTAAACTAGTAAAAAGTAAATATTGGCAACACATGCAACTTTATACTTATTCAATTCTCTTTACTGTGTATTAGATGTCATTTACTTTGAAAAACATAAACTTTTGTCCCATTTTCCATATGTCACATGTCCATCATCTTAAACATATTTTTTTCCCACTAATATATTAGAAATAGTAATGTGAAAGATGCTGAATATCTTCCTAAACCCTTTACCTTTCAGAATTTATTTTGGTTTTATTGCTGGTTAAAGGCTTTAAACCAAAATTAATGAAATTTTGGACCAGGGTGCAAAAGGAGAAAATGTGGGTATCCTGTTTCCTTGGCAACCATTCAATAATCTCTTACATTATTTACTCCTTTTTTGAAGAATTATGATCTACTGATAATAAATTTTCAGAAAATATAATTTTTTTTCGTGTAATGCCTTCTTTAATTATTTATCATGGAAGTAGGAGGCAGAACACAATACTGTAAAATCTGCCATAAGCTATTTTAAAGTTTGAAAATGATATGTGAAACTTCTTTTTTTTTGAAATTATTAGACAACTAAAGCATTATTGATAATTATCTTAAAATAGAGTTTTGGTCTTTTTTTTTCATCTTTAAAAAAGAAAGATATGACCTGAGTCTAAAAAAGTGTTGGAAATTAAAATAAAACTATAAAAATTTGCCATAAACACCAACATGACCAAATCCTTAAAATAAAAAATATTTGTTTTCAGATGTGTTGGGAATGGTTACACATCACGTTGGTATCACATGTCTCAGTCAGAACATTACTGTAACGAATGCTTTGATCATTACTACAGAAGGTATTTATTGTATAAAACAGACATTTGATCATAATTTTTACATTAACATGTTTTATCTAAATGCATTTTGTTTATGTTGTACACTTGAATTTGGAGGCTAAAAAGAGTCATACTTTGCTATAATTTTAATATAGCATATGGGTGACGGAGAAAATGTGCAAGAAAATATGGAAAGGAACATTTTCAACCATTTTTTTTTCGCCGATCTTGCTGAAGGACAAGTATGAGCTTCTTGCTTCAGTTTGGGATCTATTTTCTATAGTAAAGTTATATATCTTCTCTAAAACTTAAGGCCAACAGGAATCTAACTTGGCAGGCTTCATACTTAGAGCAATCTTTAAAAGTTATGTTGGGTGACCCTGATGTGATCACTAATGCTTAAAACAGAACGAAAGGGGTAAAATTGATAAAAAAAAATCTTCAAAATACTTTAATGAATCAATTACCATCAACCTCTTAAGAAATGTACATCTGGTTAACCCCAAAAATAGATCTATTTGGGAAAAAGAAAATTAGACATTAAAAAAATCCAAAAAAACATTTGAAGAATCTATTGCTACGAAAATTTGGTTGAATAGTAATAATTCTGATCTGCATTACATTAGATAACCCACTTTGCCTCAGAAATGGTTGTTGCTGCTACTCAAAATAGATCATATGAAAAAAAATACATTATTTAAATATTCTTTTTAAAATCTGATGATGAACCAATTGCTAACCAACTTTGCTTAAATGATACAAATTAAAAAAAAAATCTAAACATAAGAAATCTCAAAATTTGTGTATTGAGTTGCAAATAAAAGATAAAGTCCTTATCCATGTTCATGTATTTTTTAGTTTTTCAGTTGCCATTTCAACATTTAGATATTTCTAATTTTAGCCACAAGGATGGGTATGCTGTTTTTGCATTATGGAAGAGAAAATGGAGTACTTACGGGACCACAGATCCTAATATTAAAGCATTCATGATGGACACTATGTTACCGTACTGGGTTCAGTGTACACAGTGTGAGAAATGGCGACAGATGACCAAAGATTCTAACATATCACCAGATTTCCTTAAAAAATATGTTTGTGGAATGTCTACCAGTGGTTTTACGGTACATTATAATAGTAAACTGTTCCATGTTTATCAGAATACATAGGATCACCCTTAAGAAATTCATTGTTTGATGTTGCGTACCACATGCCTTGGGTTGGGTAGGTAGGTAGGGATTTAATTTTTTATGGCCAACCATATAAGTTACATGTTTTAGACAAGAAAACAACATAAAAGCAGGAAAAAATCTTTGAAAAAAAAAATATGAAATGATTTGTGTCATAAATTTTTTTTGGTAGGCTGCTTTTTCATGTTTTTAGATGGGTAGGTAAGCAACATTTAACAATTTAATTTTTTTTTTTGGCCCAGTAGTGGAAAAATCTCTTTATTGAAAAGGGATTTGATCAACAATTAAATAGCATAGACAAGTTATAAATGGAATAGGGTGTTTAATATTCAGTTTAGCAACAACGTTATGTGTGTTTTACATTTTGATAATAAATTAAAAAGATAACAGGTATTATTGATATATACAGACCACACCAACCACTAACATCCAACTCCTCTGAAAAGGGACGTCAAACAAAGACAACAACAAGCAAACAAAAATCACATGGTCCAGATAACAAATCTTGTTGGTACAGACACGACATTTTGTCATGTTTGTGGGGTTAAAAGCAGTTATATGGTGCCCAAACCTCCCCCTTTCAGTCATGGTAATACTTGTTTAAGTAATTTTCCTTAAAAATATACGTAGGCCACAGGGAAGGCAATTCCATATCTCAAGTATGGGAGGGTGTCAAGCACAGTGAAAATTTAAGTGAAATTCTAAAATAGCCTTTAAGGGTGGCTACCCATTTTGAAAATGTGCATAGTAAATTTATTGTTTAAATTCTTCTGACAGATAAAAGATTGAACTTTAATTAAAAAAAAGATTTTAGTTGTTTTAGCTTTAGTTTCTTAAGTTTGAGAATTTCAAGAATCGTAAAGTGTGTTTTTTTTTAGAGAAGCATAAGGGGAGATATTACTTATATCTTCAATATGAAAATAAGAAGATGTGGTATGATTGCCAATGAGACAACTCTCCACAAGAGACCAAATGACACAGATATTAACTACTATAGGTCACCATACGGCCTTAAACAATGAGCAAAGCCCATACCGCATATATAGTTGGCTATAAAAATATTAGTTGTATAAGTACTACCCCTGACTGCCTTCCCCTATCTAGACCATATTGTATAAGTAAAACTAACTCTACACAAAGCTCTCAAATTCTTCTTTTTTTTTTATATTTTTACACAATACTAATTACATGAATTATATATTTAAATTATGACAAGACTAAAATTTATGTGTGTTCAAACAGCTCTTCAACTTCGTACTTTATTTGGCCTTTTTAATTTATTTTATTTCGAGTGTTACTGATGAGTCTTTTGTAGACATAAAGAAATTGTGTCTGGCGTTCTTAATTTTAATACCGGTACATGTATCTATGAAGATTTTATATAGAAAATAAAAGGATATGGAGTAAATGTACATGGGACAAAATCGCACACAATACATAGAAAAAATAAAAAATTATCAATGAACAGGGCTTTTATTCCTGTTCTTCAATAGAATATAGTTTGAAGGTAATAGTACTTTAAATTGTGAATATAGAAAATGATTATAATGACTTATTACAATGATTAATAATCCATGAGACAATAGTATTGAACAAGAATTGAAGTTGGTTTTTTAAAAACTTATATCTTGCAGAAGTCCAGCATAGCAAATGCCTGTGACAGCCCAGAGGATTATGTAAGTAAATTGTTTGTATGAAAATCTTGCTATTCCTACCAAAGGTGTGTGGTTCTCTTCAGGCACAAAATATTTCCCTACCGAAGGTCAGTTGCACTCTGGCTTCCGCCATCGATAAAAACTGGCGGCCACGATATAGCCGATAGTGCTGATAGTACCTTTAAACACCAAAAAATCAATTGATCATAATCTTGCATACAGAAACTAGTGATGAGATAGATTTCATTTTAAATTTGGATAGAATTATTTGTATATTTAGTGAAATCTAAATGATGAATCTCACAGTTTTTCACCATTGTTCATCAGCACTCACAATAATAAAAACATGCAGACATTTCCAAATTTACTGTAAATTGTCTCTGAATCAAAAACAGAAAGAACATTATTTAAGAAATAATTCATGGGGGCTTGAATATATCGTGATTTTACCACGGGTTGGCCCTTTATGACAAATATTTTACCCTGAGCGATAGCGAGGGGTAAAATATCGGCATAAAGGGACAACCCGTGGTAAAATCACGATATATTCAAGCCCCCATGAATTATTTCGATTCTAATAGGACAAATACGGCAATTGTTTTGGATCGAAGCGCTCTAGATGAAGACATTATTTGCCGTTCCCATAAATAAACGCACTATTAAATTGACGTAAAAGACCGGAGCAAACTGAATAAATGACATGCTTGAACTAGTTACAATAACATATTTAGATAGGTTTGGATGAATCTAAATGATAATTGTACTTATATGTCTTATATGTATACAAAAAATGGCTTATATAACACATTTTTGCATCGTTTGTTTACGTTTCCTTGTTGTGATGATTTTCGGTTTCACAAGCGTGTATTTTCCCGTAAAATGTTTATATTCTTACGTCAATGTTCTATGACGTCGGGTAGGTCATTCATAAAAAAACATATGACGCGGGAGTACGATTGGAACAGCCCAAACAATATATTCATATTTTACCACGGGTGTGTACTCAAAGCGTTTGAAGAACGTCATGTTAGAATATGATATATTTGACTTGGTTAATTAATTCATGGGTTTATGCATTAGTATTTCTCCCAGATTGTAAAATGGCATGGTACTTTCCAAAAAATTGGTAGTTATAGGGCAAGGGTAAGAATTGTACAGCTATCATGGCTATGAAAGAAACACATGCCATTGAAAATACTATACACTCTTCACTGAAAAATCAATTACAATTTGGTGAACGTGTAGGATTTTAATATAGTGGGAAGTTTATAATGGGCAAGCAACACATAACCACTTAAAGCAACAGTTTTCCTATTTATTATTATTCCTAAAGATTTGCAATGGATATTATAACTAAAACTTCTTCATTTACAACAATTTTTATACGCCCGTCAAATTTTTGACGGGACGTATTATGTTATACAAATGTCCGGCGTCCGTCCGTCTGTCTGTCCGTCTGTCTGTCCGGCGTAAACATGTCGCACCGTAACTTGAGAATGACTTATCCAAATTTCATGAAACTTAACATAGTTGTTTCTTATGATGGTCAAACGATCTGTATACTTTTTGGTGAAAATAAGATTAAAACTTTTTGAGTTACGGGACTTAGTAACTAAAACAGGTGTGTGTTTTTTATTTTCACATGTCGCGCCGTATCTCAAAAACAATTTATGATTATTGCTTAAAACTTTACACACTTCTTAGTTATATTAATCTTAAGATCTGTATACTTTTTGGTGATGATTCAAAATTTTATTTTTGAGTTATTGAGTATTTTGTTAAAAAGGGGGAGGGGTTTTTCACATGTCGCGCCGTATCTCAAAAACAATTTATGATTATTGCTTAAAACTTTACACACTTCTTAGTTATATTAACCTTAAGATCTGTATACTTTTTGGTTTTGATTCAAAATTTTATTTTTGAGTTATTGAGTATTTTGTAAAAAAAGGGGGAGGGGTTTTTCACATGTCGCGCCATATCTCAAAAATGATTTATGATTATTGCTTAAAATTTTACACACTTCTTAGTTATATTAATCTAAAGATCTGTATACTTTTTGGTTTTGATTCAAAATTTTATTTTTGAGATATTGATTTTTTTTTTTAAAAGGGGTGTTTTCACATGTCGCGCCGTATCTCAAAAACGATTTATGATTATTGCTTAAAATTTTACACACTTCTTAGTTATATTAATCTAAAGATCTGTATACTTTTTGGTTTTGATTCAAAATTTTATTTTATAGATATTGAGTTTTTTGTAAAAAAAAAAAAGGGGGTTTTCGCATGTCACGCCGTATGTCAGAAACTATTTATGCTTATTGCATAAAAATTCACACACAAGACGACGGGCGTATCATGCGCTCATGGCGCAGCTGTTTATTTAAAATTACAAAGAGGGCAATTAAAAAAAAGACAAATTAAACAACAGTCAAAAATGGTTTTCCTGTATATTGGGAATCAGAATAAGGCATCTATAACAGTTTTGTTCCTAGACTACTTTTTTTTTATTTTACAACAATTTTATTGTGTATGTCATACCATATGTCAGTTCAGGGAACAAGGTTGATCTGGCTAACTTTCTCTTGTTTATTTTAGAGAGTAGAGTACACCAAAGACTATAATTGGATGACACAGTTGATAGCGCCACCATATTTGAAGAATTCGCCAGCTTTCCCATTCCTGTCCTCCTATTTTCCTGATTGTGTTGGAATGTCTGCCACAGACATGGAAGTCTTCAACCAATCTAAATCTCCAGGTTAAATACTAATTAAGATTCTTTAGTCAACCATGATTAAAAAAAAAGCAATAAATAGTTTCAATTCAATATTGTTTAATGATTAAATTAAATTGACATATTTTGATTTTGTTACTAGATGAAGACACGTATGTAGGGTTTTACTATTTGTAATTACAAATATGAATGACTTTTTTGATAAATCAAATACATCATTGAAATTATCTCCCTTACACTGCTTTTAAATTATGTATAAAGTAATGGTTAATGAACAATTAAGATAATTTAAAACAGTGTAAGGGAGGTAATCCAAATACAACGTTTTGGTTACTTCCCTTACACTGCTTTTAAATTTTGTTTAAAGAAATGCATATTTATAAAGGAAGACCAGTAAAAATATCTGCAAATGTTGCATCTTTTTTTTTACAACAAAATCCATATGAAAGATTTGACACTATGTTTTAAATTCTATTATAAAATAGATTAAGTTAGCACTATGGTAAATTTAAATGGGTAATTATGGTTGCAAACTCCATTGGAAATTTGAATTGAGATTATGACCATATCTTGAGGGAAAGAATTTTTTGGGGAAAAAAAAGGGGGGGGGGGTGTTTAAAGAAATTGTGGGGGGTCAATTTTTTCTCATTTCAGATTTCAGAAATTAAAAAGAATTATTCTTCAAATATTTTTTTTTTTTCAAATTTCAAATATTGAAAAATTTCAAGAAGTAATCTTTAATTGGACAGTATGGCGCATTATATTTGTAAAATCTTTGACCACATTTATTTATTTGTTATGCCGAATCTAACCGTGTATTTAGATTTTTAATTTTTGGTCCAGTTTTCAAATTGGTCTACATTAAGGTCCAAAGGGTCCAAAATTAAACTTTGTTTGATTTTAACAAAAATTGAATATATGGGGTTCTTTGATATGCTGAATCTAACCATGTATATAGATTTTTTATTTGTGGCCCAGTTTTCAAGTTGGTCCAAATTGGGGTCCAAAATTAAACTTTGTTTGATTTCAACAAAAATTGAATATATGGGGTTCTTTGATATGCTGAATCTAACCATGTATTTAGATTTTTTATTTGTGGCCCAGTTTTCAAGTTGGTCCAAATTGGGGTCCAAAATTAAACTTTGTTTGATTTCAACAAAAATTGAATATATGGGGTTCTTTGATATGCTGAATCTAACCATGTATATAGATTTTTTATTTGTGGCCCAGTTTTCAAGTTGGTCCAAATTGGGGTCCAAAATTAAACTTTGTTTGATTTCAACAAAAATTGAATATATGGGGTTCTTTGATATGCTGAATCTAACCATGTATTTAGATTTTTTATTTGTGGCCCTGTTTTCAAGTTGGTCCAAATTGGGGTCCAAAATTAAACTTTGTTTGATTTCAACAAAAATTGAATATATGGGGTTCTTTGATATGCTGAATCTAACCATGTATTTAGATTTTTTATTTGTGGACCCTGCTATCAAATTGGTTCATATTGAGGTCAAAAGGGTCCAAAATTAAACTTTGTTTGATTTCAACAAAAATTGAATATATGGGGTTCTTTGATATGCTGAATCTAACCATGTAGTTAGATTTTTGATTTTTGGGCCCCGTTATCAACTTTGTCCACATTGAGGTCAAAAGGGTCCAAAATTAAACTTAGTTTGATTTTAACAAAAATTGAATTCTTGGGGTTCTTTGATATGCTGAATCTAAACATGTGTTTAGATTTTTTATTTGTGGCCCAGTTTTCAAGTTGGTCCAAATTGGGGTCCAAAATTAAACTTTGTTTGATTTCAACAAAAATTGAATATATGGGGTTCTTTGATATGCTGAATCTAACCATGTATTTAGATTTTTTATTTGTGGCCCAGTTTTCAAGTTGGTCCAAATTGGGGTCCAAAATTAAACTTTGTTTGATTTCAACAAAAATTGAATATATGGGGTTCTTTGATATGCTGAATCTAACCATGTATTTAGATTTTGTATTTGTGGCCCAGTTTTCAAGTTGGTCCAAATTGGGGTCCAAAATTAAACTTTGTTTGATTTCAACAAAAATTGAATATATGGGGTTCTTTGATATGCTGAATCTAACCATGTATTTAGATTTTTTATTTGTGGACCCTGCTATCAAATTGGTTCATATTGAGGTCAAAAGGGTCCAAAATTAAACTTAGTTTGATTTTAACAAAAATTGAATTCTTGGGGTTCTTTGATATGCTGAATCTAAACATGTGTTTAGATTTTTGATAATGGGCCCAGTTTTCAAGTTGGTCCAAATTGGGGTCCAAAATTAAACTTTGTTTGATTTCAACAAAAATTGAATATATGGGGTTCTTTGATATGCTGAATCTAACCATGTATTTAGATTTTTTATTTGTGGCCCAGTTTTCAAGTTGGTCCAAATTGGGGTCCAAAATTAAACTTTGTTTGATTTCAACAAAAATTGAATATATGGGGTTCTTTGATATGCTGAATCTAACCATGTATTTAGATTTTGTATTTGTGGCCCAGTTTTCAAGTTGGTCCAAATTGGGGTCCAAAATTTAACTTTGTTTGATTTCAACAAAAATTGAATATATGGGGTTCTTTGATATGCTGAATCTAACCATGTATTTAGATTTTTGATTTTTGGGCCCCGTTATCAACTTTGTCCACATTGAGGTCATAAGGGTCCAAAATTAAACTTAGTTTGATTTTAACAAAAATTGAATTCTTGGGGTTCTTTGATATGCTGAATCTAAACATGTATTTAGATTTTAGATTTTTGGCCCAGTTTTCAAGTTGGTCCAAATTGGGGTCCAAAATTAAACTTTGTTTGATTTCAACAAAAATTGAATATATGGGGTTCTTTGATATGCTGAATCTAACCATGTATTTAGATTTTTTATTTGTGGCCCAGTTTTCAAGTTGGTCCAAATTGGGGTCCAAAATTAAACTTTGTTTGATTTCAACAAAAATTGAATATATGGGGTTCTTTGATATGCTGAATCTAACCATGTATATAGATTTTTTATTTGTGGCCCAGTTTTCAAGTTGGTCCAAATTGGGGTCCAAAATTAAACTTTGTTTGATTTCAACAAAAATTGAATATATGGGGTTCTTTGATATGCTGAATCTAACCATGTATTTAGATTTTTTATTTGTGGCCCTGTTTTCAAGTTGGTCCAAATTGGGGTCCAAAATGAAACTTTGTTTGATTTCAACAAAAATTGAATATATGGGGTTCTTTGATATGCTGAATCTAACCATGTATTTAGATTTTTTATTTGTGGACCCTGCTATCAAATTGGTTCATATTGAGGTCAAAAGGGTCCAAAATTAAACTTTGTTTGATTTCAACAAAAATTGAATATATGGGGTTCTTTGATATGCTGAATCTAACCATGTATTTAGATTTTTGATTTTTGGGCCCCGTTATCAACTTTGTCCACATTGAGGTCAAAAGGGTCCAAAATTAAACTTAGTTTGATTTTAACAAAAATTGAATTCTTGGGGTTCTTTGATATGCTGAATCTAAACATGTGTTTAGATTTTTTATTTGTGGCCCAGTTTTCAAGTTGGTCCAAATTGGGGTCCAAAATTAAACTTTGTTTGATTTCAACAAAAATTGAATATATGGGGTTCTTTGATATGCTGAATCTAACCATGTATTTAGATTTTTTATTTGTGGCCCAGTTTTCAAGTTGGTCCAAATTGGGGTCCAAAATTAAACTTTGTTTGATTTCAACAAAAATTGAATATATGGGGTTCTTTGATATGCTGAATCTAACCATGTATTTAGATTTTGTATTTGTGGCCCAGTTTTCAAGTTGGTCCAAATTGGGGTCCAAAATTAAACTTTGTTTGATTTCAACAAAAATTGAATATATGGGGTTCTTTGATATGCTGAATCTAACCATGTATTTAGATTTTTTATTTGTGGACCCTGCTATCAAATTGGTTCATATTGAGGTCAAAAGGGTCCAAAATTAAACTTAGTTTGATTTTAACAAAAATTGAATTCTTGGGGTTCTTTGATATGCTGAATCTAAACATGTGTTTAGATTTTTGATAATGGGCCCAGTTTTCAAGTTGGTCCAAATTGGGGTCCAAAATTAAACTTTGTTTGATTTCAACAAAAATTGAATATATGGGGTTCTTTGATATGCTGAATCTAACCATGTATTTAGATTTTTTATTTGTGGCCCAGTTTTCAAGTTGGTCCAAATTGGGGTCCAAAATTAAACTTTGTTTGATTTCAACAAAAATTGAATATATGGGGTTCTTTGATATGCTGAATCTAACCATGTATTTAGATTTTGTATTTGTGGCCCAGTTTTCAAGTTGGTCCAAATTGGGGTCCAAAATTTAACTTTGTTTGATTTCAACAAAAATTGAATATATGGGGTTCTTTGATATGCTGAATCTAACCATGTATTTAGATTTTTGATTTTTGGGCCCCGTTATCAACTTTGTCCACATTGAGGTCAAAAGGGTCCAAAATTAAACTTAGTTTGATTTTAACAAAAATTGAATTCTTGGGGTTCTTTGATATGCTGAATCTAAACATGTATTTAGATTTTAGATTTTTGGCCCAGTTTTCAAGTTGGTCCAAATTGGGGTCCAAAATTAAACTTTGTTTGATTTCAACAAAAATTGAATATATGGGGTTCTTTGATATGCTGAATCTAACCATGTATTTAGATTTTTTATTTGTGGCCCAGTTTTCAAGTTGGTCCAAATTGGGGTCCAAAATTAAACTTTGTTTGATTTCAACAAAAATTGAATATATGGGGTTCTTTGATATGCTGAATCTAACCATGTATTTAGATTTTTTATTTGTAGCCCAGTTTTCAAGTTGGTCCAAATTGGGGTCCAAAATTAAACTTTGTTTGATTTCAACAAAAATTGAATATATGGGGTTCTTTGATATGCTGAATCTAACCATGTATTTAGATTTTTTATTTGTGGACCCAGCTGCTATCAAATTGGTTCATATTGAGGTCAAAAGGGTCCAAAATTAAACTTTGTTTGATTTCAACAAAAATTGAATATATGGGGTTCTTTGATATGCTGAATCTAACCATGTATTTAGATTTTTGATTTTTGGGCCCCGTTATCAACTTTGTCCACATTGAGGTCAAAAGGGTCCAAAATTAAACTTGGTTTGATTTTAACAAAAATTGAATTCTTGGGGTTCTTTGATATGCTGAATCTAAACATGTGTTTAGATTTTTGATAATGGGCCCAGTTTTCAAGTTGGTCCAAATTGGGGTCCAAAATTAAACTTTGTTTGATTTCAACAAAAATTGAATATATGGGGTTCTTTGATATGCTGAATCTAACCATGTATTTAGATTTTTTATTTGTGGACCCTGCTATCAAATTGGTTCATATTGAGGTCAAAAGGGTCCAAAATTAAACTTAGTTTGATTTTAACAAAAATTGAATTCTTGGGGTTCTTTGATATGCTGAATCTAAACATGTGTTTAGATTTTTGATAATGGGCCCAGTTTTCAAGTTGGTCCAAATTGGGGTCCAAAATTAAACTTTGTTTGATTTCAACAAAAATTGAATATATGGGGTTCTTTGATATGCTGAATCTAACCATGTATTTAGATTTTTTATTTGTGGCCCAGTTTTCAAGTTGGTCCAAATTGGGGTCCAAAATTAAACTTTGTTTGATTTCAACAAAAATTGAATATATGGGGTTCTTTGATATGCTGAATCTAACCATGTATTTAGATTTTTTATTTGTAGCCCAGTTTTCAAGTTGGTCCAAATTGGGGTCCAAAATTAAACTTTGTTTGATTTCAACAAAAATTGAATATATGGGGTTCTTTGATATGCTGAATCTAACCATGTATTTAGATTTTTTATTTGTGGACCCAGCTGCTATCAAATTGGTTCATATTGAGGTCAAAAGGGTCCAAAATTAAACTTTGTTTGATTTCAACAAAAATTGAATATATGGGGTTCTTTGATATGCTGAATCTAACCATGTATTTAGATTTTTGATTTTTGGGCCCCGTTATCAACTTTGTCCACATTGAGGTCAAAAGGGTCCAAAATTAAAATTAGTTTGATTTTAACAAAAATTGAATTCTTGGGGTTCTTTGATATGCTGAATCTAAACATGTGTTTAGATTTTTGATAATGGGCCCAGTTTTCAAGTTGGTCCAAATTGGGGTCCAAAATTAAACTTTGTTTGATTTCAACAAAAATTGAATATATGGGGTTCTTTGATATGCTGAATCTAACCATGTATTTAGATTTTTTATTTGTGGACCCTGCTATCAAATTGGTTCATATTGAGGTCAAAAGGGTCCAAAATTAAACTTAGTTTGATTTTAACAAAAATTGAATTCTTGGGGTTCTTTGATATGCTGAATCTAAACATGTGTTTAGATTTTTGATAATGGGCCCAGTTTTCAAGTTGGTCCAAATTGGGGTCCAAAATTAAACTTTGTTTGATTTCAACAAAAATTGAATATATGGGGTTCTTTGATATGCTGAATCTAACCATGTATTTAGATTTTTTATTTGTGGACCCTGCTATCAAATTGGTTCATATTGAGGTCAAAAGGGTCCAAAATTAAACTTTGTTTGATTTCAACAAAAATTGAATATATGGGGTTCTTTGATATGCTGAATCTAACCATGTATTTAGATTTTTGATTTTTGGGCCCCGTTATCAACTTTGTCCACATTGAGGTCAAAAGGGTCCAAAATTAAACTTAGTTTGATTTTAACAAAAATTGAATTCTTGGGGTTCTTTGATATGCTGAATCTAAACATGTGTTTAGATTTTTGATAATGGGCCCAGTTTTCAAGTTGGTCCAAATTGGGGTCCAAAATTAAACTTTGTTTGATTTCAACAAAAATTGAATATATGGGGTTCTTTGATATGCTGAATCTAACCATGTATTTAGATTTTTTATTTGTGGCCCAGTTTTCAAGTTGGTCCAAATTGGGGTCCAAAATTAAACTTTGTTTGATTTCAACAAAAATTGAATATAAGGGGTTCTTTGATATGCTGAATCTAACCATGTATTTAGATTTTGTATTTGTGGCCCAGTTTTCAAGTTGGTCCAAATTGGGGTCCAAAATTAAACTTTGTTTGATTTCAACAAAAATTGAATATATGGGGTTCTTTGATATGCTGAATCTAACCATGTATTTAGATTTTTTATTTGTGGACCCTGCTATCAAATTGGTTCATATTGAGGTCAAAAGGGTCCAAAATTAAACTTAGTTTGATTTTAACAAAAATTGAATTCTTGGGGTTCTTTGATATGCTGAATCTAAACATGTGTTTAGATTTTTGATAATGGGCCCAGTTTTCAAGTTGGTCCAAATTGGGGTCCAAAATTAAACTTTGTTTGATTTCAACAAAAATTGAATATATGGGGTTCTTTGATATGCTGAATCTAACCATGTATTTAGATTTTTTATTTGTGGCCCAGTTTTCAAGTTGGTCCAAATTGGGGTCCAAAATTAAACTTTGTTTGATTTCAACAAAAATTGAATATATGGGGTTCTTTGATATGCTGAATCTAACCATGTATTTAGATTTTGTATTTGTGGCCCAGTTTTCAAGTTGGTCCAAATTGGGGTCCAAAATTTAACTTTGTTTGATTTCAACAAAAATTGAATATATGGGGTTCTTTGATATGCTGAATCTAACCATGTATTTAGATTTTTGATTTTTGGGCCCCGTTATCAACTTTGTCCACATTGAGGTCAAAAGGGTCCAAAATTAAACTTAGTTTGATTTTAACAAAAATTGAATTCTTGGGGTTCTTTGATATGCTGAATCTAAACATGTATTTAGATTTTAGATTTTTGGCCCAGTTTTCAAGTTGGTCCAAATTGGGGTCCAAAATTAAACTTTGTTTGATTTCAACAAAAATTGAATATATGGGGTTCTTTGATATGCTGAATCTAACCATGTATTTAGATTTTTTATTTGTGGCCCAGTTTTCAAGTTGGTCCAAATTGGGGTCCAAAATTAAACTTTGTTTGATTTCAACAAAAATTGAATATATGGGGTTCTTTGATATGCTGAATCTAACCATGTATTTAGATTTTTTATTTGTAGCCCAGTTTTCAAGTTGGTCCAAATTGGGGTCCAAAATTAAACTTTGTTTGATTTCAACAAAAATTGAATATATGGGGTTCTTTGATATGCTGAATCTAACCATGTATTTAGATTTTTTATTTGTGGACCCAGCTGCTATCAAATTGGTTCATATTGAGGTCAAAAGGGTCCAAAATTAAACTTTGTTTGATTTCAACAAAAATTGAATATATGGGGTTCTTTGATATGCTGAATCTAACCATGTATTTAGATTTTTGATTTTTGGGCCCCGTTATCAACTTTGTCCACATTGAGGTCAAAAGGGTCCAAAATTAAACTTAGTTTGATTTTAACAAAAATTGAATTCTTGGGGTTCTTTGATATGCTGAATCTAAACATGTGTTTAGATTTTTGATAATGGGCCCAGTTTTCAAGTTGGTCCAAATTGGGGTCCAAAATTAAACTTTGTTTGATTTCAACAAAAATTGAATATATGGGGTTCTTTGATATGCTGAATCTAACCATGTATTTAGATTTTTTATTTGTGGACCCTGCTATCAAATTGGTTCATATTGAGGTCAAAAGGGTCCAAAATTAAACTTAGTTTGATTTTAACAAAAATTGAATTCTTGGGGTTCTTTGATATGCTGAATCTAAACATGTGTTTAGATTTTTGATAATGGGCCCAGTTTTCAAGTTGGTCCAAATTGGGGTCCAAAATTAAACTTTGTTTGATTTCAACAAAAATTGAATATATGGGGTTCTTTGATATGCTGAATCTAACCATGTATTTAGATTTTTTATTTGTGGCCCAGTTTTCAAGTTGGTCCAAATTGGGGTCCAAAATTAAACTTTGTTTGATTTCAACAAAAATTGAATATATGGGGTTCTTTGATATGCTGAATCTAACCATGTATTTAGATTTTGTATTTGTGCCCCAGTTTTCAAGTTGGTCCAAATTGGGGTCCAAAATTTAACTTTGTTTGATTTCAACAAAAATTGAATATATGGGGTTCTTTGATATGCTGAATCTAACCATGTATTTAGATTTTTGATTTTTGGGCCCCGTTATCAACTTTGTCCACATTGAGGTCAAAAGGGTCCAAAATTAAACTTAGTTTGATTTTAACAAAAATTGAATTCTTGGGGTTCTTTGATATGCTGAATCTAAACATGTATTTAGATTTTAGATTTTTGGCCCAGTTTTCAAGTTGGTCCAAATTGGGGTCCAAAATTAAACTTTGTTTGATTTCAACAAAAATTGAATATATGGGGTTCTTTGATATGCTGAATCTAACCATGTATTTAGATTTTTTATTTGTGGCCCAGTTTTCAAGTTGGTCCAAATTGGGGTCCAAAATTAAACTTTGTTTGATTTCAACAAAAATTGAAAATATGGGGTTCTTTGATATGCTGAATCTAACCATGTATTTAGATTTTTTATTTGTGGCCCAGTTTTCAAGTTGGTCCAAATTGGGGTCCAAAATTAAACTTTGTTTGATTTCAACAAAAATTGAATATATGGGGTTCTTTGATATGCTGAATCTAACCATGTATTTAGATTTTTTATTTGTGGACCCAGCTGCTATCAAATTGGTTCATATTGAGGTCAAAAGGGTCCAAAATTAAACTTTGTTTGATTTCAACAAAAATTGAATATATGGGGTTCTTTGATATGCTGAATCTAACCATGTATTTAGATTTTTGATTTTTGGGCCCCGTTATCAACTTTGTCCACATTGAGGTCAAAAGGGTCCAAAATTAAACTTAGTTTGATTTTAACAAAAATTGAATTCTTGGGGTTCTTTGATATGCTGAATCTAAACATGTGTTTAGATTTTTGATAATGGGCCCAGTTTTCAAGTTGGTCCAAATTGGGGTCCAAAATTAAACTTTGTTTGATTTCAACAAAAATTGAATATATGGGGTTCTTTGATATGCTGAATCTAACCATGTATTTAGATTTTTTATTTGTGGCCCAGTTTTCAAGTTGGTCCAAATTGGGGTCCAAAATTAAACTTTGTTTGATTTCAACAAAAATTGAATATATGGGGTTCTTTGATATGCTGAATCTAACCATGTATTTAGATTTTGTATTTGTGGCCCAGTTTTCAAGTTGGTCCAAATTGGGGTCCAAAATTTAACTTTGTTTGATTTCAACAAAAATTGAATATATGGGGTTCTTTGATATGCTGAATCTAACCATGTATTTAGATTTTTGATTTTTGGGCCCCGTTATCAACTTTGTCCACATTGAGGTCAAAAGGGTCCAAAATTAAACTTAGTTTGATTTTAACAAAAATTGAATTCTTGGGGTTCTTTGATATGCTGAATCTAAACATGTATTTAGATTTTAGATTTTTGGCCCAGTTTTCAAGTTGGTCCAAATTGGGGTCCAAAATTAAACTTTGTTTGATTTCAACAAAAATTGAATATATGGGGTTCTTTGATATGCTGAATCTTACCATGTATTTAGATTTTTTATTTGTGGGCCCGCTATCAAATTGGTTCATATTGAGTTCAAAAGGGTCCAAAATTAAACTTTGTTTGATTTCATCAAAAATTGAATTATTGGGGTTCTTTGATATGCCAAATCTAACCGTGATTTTAGATTTTTAATTTTGGGTCCCATTTTTAAATTGGTCTACATTAAGGTCCAAAGGGTCCAAAATTAAACTTAGTTTGATTTTAACAAAAATTGAATTCTTGGGGTACTTTGATATGCTGAATCTAAACATGTGTTAAGATTTTTGATTATGGGACCAGTTTTCAAGTTTGTCCAATTTGGGGATCCAAAATTAAACTTAGTTTTGATTTCAACAAAAATTGAATTCTTGGGGTACTTTGATATGCTGAATCTAAACATGTATTTTGATTTTGGACATTGGACCATAATAGGTAAATTAAAAAAATTGAAGTTCTTAGACCACATTCTTTCTGTGTCAGAAACCTATGCTGTGTCAAATATTTAATCACAATCCAAATTCAGAGCTGTATCAAGCTTGAATGTTGTGTCCATACTTGCCCCAACTGTTCAGGGTTCGACCTCTGCGGTCGTATCAAGCTGCGCCCAGCGAAGCATTTTATTAAGTCTTGTTTTCATGGAGATTCTATAGCCCCACCCCCTCATCATGGTTCATTGACTTTGAAACTTTTACATAGTTTACAAGTTAATGTTTGTGTTTAGGTTTGTTTAAAGGGAACGACTTATGGTAAGTCAATGGTATTTGGTTTGCAGTTGTATTAGCATTGGCACATCTCATTTCCATGGAGATTGTTTAGCCATGTACCTTCAGTCATGGTTCATTGACTTTGAATATTTAGTTAAAGAATTGCTATTTTAATTTCAACATTTGCATTATCAGAATTACAAAAAGGCGAGACATATCTCTGTGATAACAGTTTATGTGGATCGAATCAGTCAATCAAATGGTTTACCCTTGTTTCACTTTCAATGTTGACATTCTTTTCATTTTAATAACTGAACACGCCTACTTCATGCGTAACCAATCTCTAGCTAATGGGTTAAATTGAAGGTCACATGAATAAGGATTCAATAAGGTAAAATTATTCACTTGCAAGTGAATAATACATCAGCGATGTTTATTTGCTTATTTTGACAAATTTGAACCAAATTGGCTGCTAAAAGCCAATTATTATTTCATTATTTCTCTTTTATTAATGATTGAAACAAACTAAATCATATTCTAATTTTTTTCATATCTCGTAGCTAATGCCCCTTTAAGATTGTAACGTTTGTATTTATATGAATTAAATTCCAGATATGCCAGCCTATTTATCCCCCTTTGTAACAAGTGACCAGTCCGAACCAGCTCGATGTTTTCAGCCAGGGGCAATGGATGAATTAGAATTAACAGAATTTCCTGAGTTTGCCAAAATTCCCACACTATATTTAGCTATCAGGAATGTTTGTGTGACTTTGTGGAATTTGAATCCAAAGGTGAGAATACCTATTGTGAAACCTAACTTTTATTTTATTTCTGCTTTATAAAGATATGTCACTGCATATATCCATTTGAACATGAATGTAATTCAAATAAAGCAGTTCAACGGTTTTGTAGGCTTGTTTCTTAATTTAAGGTAGCAAATGTACCAGAGCAAAACAGCTCTTGAATTTAACATTTTTTCATGTGAAAAAATATTTAATGCAACTTGCATTAAATTCTCTTTACGTCAATCCATTTTAAAGCTTTCATAAAACTTGAACTTTAATACTAAAATAAAAGGCAGGTTATAAACAAAAAAAGTAATCATTTTGTCCTTGTGACTCACAAAATTATGATATATATAGAGTTTGAGTACAGAAATTTTTGCTTGCATATATTATTGTGATTGTTGACCAACCAATACAAATTCAATATTTATTTTTGTGATTTCAGGAAATGTTGGATACCAAAAATGTTAAGTCTTTTTGAAGATCTGCGACTCTTTTCACAAAAAATCTTAAAAGTAAAAATAGTCGTATTAAAGTCATACACATTTCAGTATAACTTACGATCAATTTTGATCGTGATCAATTTTGATCGTAAGATATTTTGTGAAAAGAGTCGCAGGGTTCTTAACACTTGCTTTAAACAAACATGTTTTGTATGCTTTGTATGTTTACAGAAATGGTTATCTCATGAGAGATGCGGTCCATTTATCATTTGCCGTGGAATGACACGTATCTGGTGTATAAACAGCCTTCAGAGTATATTGTGGCATCTGACAAGACGAGGCCTCATCAACTTTGGACTGTTGTCATTGCCAAAGGAAATAGACTTTATGCCGAAAGATATTCTACCTCAGGTTTGATTTAAGAAATTAGACTGCAGAAAAATATTTTTGCCTCGCCTGCGACGAAAGTGGCAGTATGCAAGACATAGGTATTACTATCCGGTGGCGTAAACTATTTGTATAAAGCTTTATATATCAGAAGGTAGAAGACCTGGAATCTTCATACCTTGTATGCAGATACCTTATGTAACGAAGTTTTCATCTGTCATATGCCCATTGTCCTTGACCTCATTTTCATGGTTCAGCAACTGCTTGAAAAAAAATTACAGTTTTTTTGTCATGTGAATTTCTTGATTGTTATGAGTAATAGGATAAATATATTTGGTATATGGGTTCCTTGCAATGTCTACATGTCCATCTGACAGGATTAACCTGACCCCGACCTAAATTCATGGATCAGTGATCAAGGTTAAAACTACATGATTAGGTCCATTTCTCAGATACTACAAGCAGCAGGTCAACTATATGTGGTGTATGGAATGATTATAAGGGGTACGTGTCAGAATGGCAGGTTTCATCTGACCTTGACCTTATTTTCATGGTTCATTGGTCATTGTTAATTTTTTTTAGTTTTGGTCTGTTTTTCAAGTACTGTAAGCAATAGGTCAACAGTATTTGGTGTATGGAATGATTGTAAGGTTTACATGTCAGTCTAGCTGGTGTCATCTGACTTTGACCTCATTTTCATGGTTCATTGGTCAATGTTAAGTTTTTGTGTTTTGGTCTGTTTTTCAAGTATTATAAGCAATAGGTCAACTATATTTGGTTTATATATGGAATGATTGTAAGGTGTACATGTCTGTCAAGCCAGTGTCATCTGACCTTGACCTCATTTTCATGGTTCATTGGTCAATGTTAAGTTTTTGTGTTTAAGTCTGTTTTTCAAATACTAATAGCAATTAGTTAACTATAATTGGTGTATGGAATGATTGTAATTTGTACATGTCTGTCTAGCCAGTATCATCTGACCTTGACCCCATATTCATATTTCATTGGTTAACATTAAGTTTTTGTGTTTTGGTCTGTTTTTCAATTACCATAAGCAATGGGTCAACTATATTTGGTGTATGGAATAATTGTAAGGTGTACATGTCTGTGTGACAGTTTTATCTGACCTTGACCTCATTGTCATGGATCTTTAAAAATGTAAAGTTTATGTGATATGTGTAATAAAACCTTTATCTTTAAGACTTTCAACATAAAATCAATGGTTAGTAAAACAGGCGAGACATTTCAGCGTGTGCACTCTTGTAAACTTTCTTTGCACTTTTGTCTGATTTTTCATTTCTAACCAGTCATATTGGTCATTTTTATTTCAACTAAATCATAGAATTACTGTTAATTCAGAAATTTTTACGTTCACTTTTAATGGGATTGTTGAGGATTGCAATTTCAGGAAATACTGCAAACAATAATGCTATCAAAATAATGTAAACTGTGAGTTTATTTATGCAAAACCTATCCCGTCACTTTTTTTCAATGATAAAACATCTCAATTTTTTTTGAATTAACAGTAGCTGTAAATGTTGTACATAGATTAATTAGCATAATAAGACAGAAACCCAATGACACAAAAAAACAATGGACATCAAAAAGTCAAAATAGGGTCTTCAACAATAAATATGTTTATCTATAATTGCTTTAGCCTTAAAAAGTTTTGAAAAAAAAATGAACAGAGAATAGCCCAGATCTGGCAATAACACCATGAATTCTAGATCTTTACAACAAAAAGACGACAACCTCTGACCATCATATTTTCTAACACATTTAAATAATAATAAAACTTTTAATACATTTGTGAGAAAGGGAATGGTATTCTTTAAAGTTGTACTAATGGTTTTCAGACATGGGTTAGAAGCTGTGAAAACATTTCCACTTACTGTTGGAATCTGAAACATACATACTTTATTCATTAACTTGAGATATAATGAAAACTTATAAGCTTTCTATCTATTGTAAATTTTTAATATATCATTATATTTTGAAGGACAATCATGTGTTAATTATATGAGGTTATATTTTTAAGTAAACCTTGTGTTAATTATAGGAGGTTATATTTTTAAGGACAACCATGTGTTAATTATAGGAGGTTATATTTTTAAGGACAACCATGTGTTAATTATAGGAGGTTATATTTTTAAGAACAACCATGTGTTAATTATAGGTTATATTTTTAAGAACAACCATGTGTTAATTATAGGAGGTTATATTTTTAAGGACAATCATGTGTTAATTATAGGAGCAGGAGTTTCTGGCTTGTCAGCTGCACATCAACTTAATCATTTCGGTGTTAAGGTAAGAATACAAATATATTTGGCCTTATGTATGATATCAATGTTCAGTGGTGAAAGGTCTTGCTAATTTCATGAATTGTAATATATTACAGTCAGGGGTAATAACTATTTAAACTATTAAAGTAATATTAACTTGTAATACATATTCAAGTCATGCTTATACACTTGAAGTTGTACGTAATATATTCTTCAATTTTACTCATTGTTGAAGGCCGTACAGTGACCTATAGTTTTTAATTTCTATGTCCTTGATCTCTTGTTGAGAGTTGTCTCATTGGCAATCATACCACATCTTCTTATTTTTATATTGTATAAAAAATTTATTGGGTTTTGATTTTTCACTATATTTGAAAAGTCACGGAAGACAAGACATATTTGTTGCTTTTCTGGCGGCGGTGAGGGAGTCAACAACTGTTAAGTTTTCTACTTAAGTTAGTTTGGTAGGAACAAATAGTGAAAGATCAGTGATATTTTCTATAAGTTGCATTTATATCACTACTTATCAGTTTGAAGACTTTTTTGTAGCCCTGCCCCCTAGGTCAATGTTCAATGACTTTGAATTAATTAGCAATTTTAGATGTTAAGCTTTCTGCTTTAGTTAGTTTGATAGGAACAACTTGAAATTGTCTTTTTCTGAGTTTTCTGCCAACAGGCTAGACATATCTCTGTGTCAACAGTTTATTAATGATTGAATGGAATAAAACAGGTTTTAAATTTCAAAGAATTAAACAAAACAACATTTATATCTTTTTGGTAGTTTTGGGGAAAATTTATTGAAAAAACAACATCCTGGGATTCCCAGTAGGTATTAAATTATGTTCATCATAGTGCAGTCTTCACGATTGGCTACAGGACCACTAGCCCAGGCTTGTAAAATATCTTGTCAAGCCTGTAAGAATTTCTACTACAGGACTAAGATTTTAACAAAATTTTCCATGAAATGAGTGCAGGATTGTAGCTGCAAAAGTTTATTTGGAGGCTGAAAGTGGTGGCTTAAACCATAGTATTCATCATGGAAAGTTTACTCTTTCCTCTATAAATTCAATATAAATATATACACTTGTTGGTAAATTAATTTGTGTTTAGGAATCACCACAATGTTTCACAGTATTCTCTGAACAACCAAATGATATTAGATGTTAATTGAATCTTCTTATTGTTCAGTATATTTATTAACTTGTTCACTTTTGAATGTTTTAATGTGATTAAAACTTCAAAAGAAAATTTATATGAAGTAAAAAAATCTTTACTATATTTCAGACCACAATATTAGAAGCTAAGGACAGAATTGGAGGTAGAATCCATGACGACTGTTCCTTAGGTTTGACTGTAGGAAAAGGTGCTCAGATCATAAATGGTTGTGATAATAATCCACTGATTGTACTCAGTCATCAGGTAATTTTTATTATGTTTTGGATTTACAATTATTTTGGCCTCGAGCATCACTGAAGAGACATTAATTGTTGAAATGTGATTCTGGTGCAGTAAAATTGGTACCGTTAATGTTATTTGTATTTATACTGAAAACATGTCAAAAGACTTTCTATTATTTTATTATAAATTAAAGGTTTTAATCCTAATCCACTCTCAATTTTCAGTAATTAAGTTATAGTTTTTGGGAGATAGTCATGGCACATGACTTTAGGTTTTACTGTAAATAAAAAGAGTTTAATGTTAATTAGGGCCCTGCCTAGTGGCGGGTCGCCCTATAGTGATCAGTCCGTCAGTCTATAACAAATTGTGTCCACTCTATATCTAGAGAACCGTTATAATTTGATACTTTATACTTGACATGTATATTAACCAACACCAGAGGGTGTGTCATAATGTTTGTACAACTTCCTAGGTCAAAGTTCAAGGTCAAAACTTAATAAAGTGCTTCATACCAGCTTACCCATACAATTTTTTTACCACACGTTATTTACAGCAGGGCCCACAGAGATGGCTACCATCTCAATGATGTCTAGTTATTTTAGATAAGTAATTGAGATATGATCAAAATATACCCAGCTTAGTACTATATGAACACAGTAAGTCAGATTTTAACACGCTAGCTTAATAGCAACTGGCTGGAGGAAGAAATGTTACTCTACCAAAGAGCATTATGCTGACTCTTAGTTGAGTAGTTTTGGTTCGTGCTCCCAAATGCCTCATGCCTCTTACAAATCTTTAGTTCAATTTAATTTTCACAATTTCCAATAAGATATTTTGAGTAATTGGTTGAAAAAGAGGCTTAGTAAAGAAACAGTTTTATTGGTTTATCTTGAATGGTGATATACACTGTAGATTCATTTATTTGTGGGTTGCCAATTTTTTCGTGTGTATCGTGGGTATAGATACACATGTAAACCAGGAATTTAAATGTTCAACTAAGTATAGATTTTCTATAGGCTTGTGTGTAGACTTTTTTCAAAACCATGAATTCAAATATCCACAAAACTACAATTTTTCCTTAATGAACGAAAAATGGTATTTACGAAAATAGATGAATCCACAGTAACTATAGATATGGCAATATTTAAAAAAGAAAATGAAATCTTAAAGTAACTATAAGGGAGGCATCTCATTGAGACATTGGCTATCCTTTAGATTGAACTTGTGTACATTTTTTTCAAAGTTGAGATGTTTAAATTTCTTCTTAAACAAAGTGTTATATTATATGGATAGCCCTCTTATCATTTTGTATATGGCACAAAATTTTCCCTTAATATTGTGCCTTTTATACAGTAAACCAACTAATTGTCGTGAGTTTATTTATTCACAACGCTTTACACAACATGGAAAATAACATGAACATAGATCATTGTGAATTTATCGAACTTTGATTTTCTCTATCCATTGAAATGGATGTGATAGGATAGGAAGGAAGTTTTATTTTGGACATTGGTTATTGTGTGTGTATTAGTCCTTTTGATGTATGCAAAATTGTTTAAAGAAAGTAAGTTGGTTGAGGATAATTGGAAAGTCCCTTCCTATCCTCGTGCCTCCTTTTTAATGTGATAGATCTAGATCTTACATGAATACATCAACTAAGTTAAAAAATTGCAATAAGTCAGCTATGGCTTAACACAAAAAAAGTATATGCAAAGATATTAAAGATATTAGGGTAACAGTGTTAGACTTTGTTTCCTATTGTAGACTGGTGTCCATATCAAGGAGCTAAGTGAAAAGTGTTGTCTTCTGCAGAAAGGTGGAGTAAAAGTGGAGGAAAAAACTGACAGTCAGATGGACTTTCATTTCAATGCTATTCTAGACATTATTGCAGACTGGCGTAGAAACAAAGAAATTCTTCAAGATTTAAGTCTAATGGATAAATTTCGAGAGACACATCAGCACTTTATGGACGAGTCACAATTAACTTTCACAAAACAACAAGAAACTTTACTTAATTTTCATTTTGGAAATCTGGAATATGCTTGTGGAACAAGTTTATCAAATATTTCAACGATGAACTGGGATCAAAATGAAGATTACCCACAATTCTCAGGAAGAAATGTTTTGCTGGCCGATGGATTTTCACCCATTTTGGATAAGATAACAGAAAATTTAGACATTGTCTACAATACAGAGGTAGAATTCTATTTATGTGATTACCTGATTATTTACTGTATAATAAGTAAAATTTCAGGATTTCTAGAGAAAAAACTTGGACTTGGTTGTTAGCATTTTTTCACATTTTTAGCTGGCCAAGTCATTGCCATCACTTGGTGGTGTGTTGTCATTGTAAACTTTAGAAAAAATCTTATCATCTGAAACTACTTGGCTAAATGTTAATAAACTTAACCCAGAATGTGCCTTAAGTAATCTAGTATAAAAATTTAAGTGGTGATTTGATCCCTCAACAAACACATGACTGCTGTTGCTAAAAATAGAACATATTGGTAAAACGTAGATTTTGACTTGTATCTCAAAAACTACAGCAGTTAGAACAAAACTAAGGAGTTAAAATCATGAGCAGGTTAAGGTCTATTTCCTACTGAATTTTCATAATCAGATAATTCTGAAACCTGTGATGGAAATCATTGGACCACTTCTATTAATTTCGTGGTTTTGCCATAGTCAAGTTGAACATTTATATTTGTGCTTTATCTGTACCAAGGAAATCCACTAAAATTGGTACCCCATGAATAATAATGAATCCACAGTATTATGAAATGCCATTATGTGACATTAATAGTCAGATTTAAGGCAGTTTTTCACATATCACACAAAAACTACAGAACACTTTGATAAAATTCCCTGAAACTAAATCCCCTCCTTATCTTGTAGATTTCATCAATAGATTACAGTGATAAAGTTGTAGTGAAATCATCAGATGGACAAAGCTGGACAGGCGATAAGGTAGGTGTGAAATCATCTGATGGACAAAGCTGGACAGGCCATAAGGTAGGTGTGAAATCATCAGATGGACAAAGCTGGACAGGCGATAAGGTAGGTGTGAAATCATCAGATGGACAAAGCTGGACAGGCGATAAGGTAGGTGTGAAATACAGATGATTCTCATTATCTCGAAGTCAGTCGGACCAGAGAAATAATTCAAGATACCTGTAGTTCGACTCAAACCAAATACAGGAAGTTTGACAGACCAAGGGACACAACTCTTGCTCAGCTTGGAAAGGCTAAAATAAATGCAGATGAATATGGGTAAGGGATCGATAGGTCTAAGATTGGTGTATCTGTACACATATATTATGGTCCTTTATTGTTATAATGAAATTATTTTTTTTTGTCTCTAAATTATTTCGTTGTACAGTCACAATTTGTCCTGTGGTTTTTAGCCAGGAGAACAATTTTCAATCGATCTTGGCTTGATTTTTATTTGACAAATTTGTTCTATTAATTACAGGTGTAGTAATTCTCAGAATAACTCGTCAATCCAATTTAATCCCTAAGGTCTTGTTTTGACATGTGTATTTTTTCAAGATAAAAATTCAATTTAAATATTTTTGTTAACCTTGGGACTGTAAATTTGGTTCAAGTCAACCGAAATTTTGTCTCATCCAATTCAGACATATCAGGAGGCGAAATACATGTATTTATATAGAACAAAGACCACAGGAAAATTTCGACTCATCCGAAATTTCAAGTCAACAGAGTTAGAGACAACGAGAGTTGACTGTACTACTATATTTGTGATTATAATTAATCACTGGACACAAAGCTGGACTGGCAATATGGTAGGTATGAAATACTGATATATCTATGAGATATACAGATCTTTTCATATAGATATAAGCTTCTGAACATTTCATCAGACTATTGAAAACCAGGTAAAGGTATGCTTACATAGCAAACAAAAGAATAAAAACTTTATCACGAAAAGATGAATAAATAGCATTAATGGTAAAATTAATTATTTATTGAAGGTAGCATTGCAACATTGTTATGTTTAACCATATTTCCAAAAATTGGTTAAGATTCTTAATAGTATTATTTTTAAGTATTATTTGTTATTTCTTGGGTAAAGATTGCATATGGTACTGACTTGATATTTAAATCTTCCAAGGTTTATCACTACCTTTGATAGTTCACACAAAATAGTGCTGTGAAGTGATCATTATTTAGATCCTATTCAGTCAATTTCAGGCAATTTATTAATGAAATGTATACTTACATGTAGATATTCAAGTTACAATATGATGTGTATATGAATTACCATGCTTGTCAAGAAAACTTTTCTTTATTGAAAATTACATAAGTAACTCATGGTGTATGAATCTGTTACAAAAAAGACTCATCTACAAATGTACAATCATGAAAGGAAGATAACTCCAATTTAATGCTTTATTTATAACAAAATTGCAAAATGAAAGCAATTTTTACCCTTCAGTGCTCACAAGCACTTTGATTAAAAGCAATGGTGTCATTATCTACTTGACATCAATATCCACGATACCTTTGGCTCGTGAATCTTGTTGTTAAAACCTATTGCTGATAACCTGACTGAGCTTGGCTCAACAGGAAGTGTCCTTACATTAGGTCATCAGGACTGTGGTCAAATAAAGGAACAGGTTATACTAAAGAACAAAAACTTCTACCACTACTGTTGTAAGAGAATAAGTTGACAGATCCATAACACTTATTATTAATATGTTATTGTCTTTTACAAGTAAACATTGATTTTCTTTTTAGGTCATTGTGACCCTACCTTTAGCAGTATTCACAAGTAAACATTGATTTTCTTTTTAGGTCATTGTGACCCTGCCTTTAGCAGTATTGAAGAATGGAATAGTCCAATTTAATCCTCCTCTACCACAGAATAAAGTAATGGCAATTCAACAGTTAGGTGTAGGATACATGGAAAAGGTAATCTCAACAACCATTATAGATATGATGATTGAGACTACTTTCTTCCTTTAATGAAGAATTTTGCACGGAACCCTCATTTTATTGTTGTATACAAACGAACAATAGTGATGCTATATATCAGGGAAGAAATTTATATGGAAACTACAGACATTTTTGAAAACATGGAATACACGTTATTTGTTGCAGTTATATTGAGGGACTGATGTAATAGAGAGGCGATTTAACAAGGAAACATTGTACTTATCTCTTGATTTTCTGGATTTAGACTGTTTGATCAAATTTATCAATTTGTACAAGAAAACATGCACTGTTTTCAAGCTTCAGATCTTTTAAGGAAAAGAAACTGCTATGAAACCAGATGTACCATCTTCTTGACCACATTCCAATCTAAAAAAAAAATTAGTTGCAATGATTTAAGGCATGTTTATAATTTAAGTTCATAAAACCACAGCTTTATATGCATTTTGAAAACAAACCCGTAGTTGCTATACTTATTGTCCCCCTCACAATGTGATCCGTCCATCTGTGTGTCTGTCTTTCCAGTCTTGTTAACGCTCTCACATGTACAATTCTTGCCAGATTTTTGTAAAACATATACCATAGATTTATATATATCATCAATGTCTCAGACAAGTTCGAAAGTCAGTGCCGATCAATCATTTTTAAAAGAGTTATGCCCCTGGGAAATATTAATTATATGAAAAATTACATTGTGAGTGCTCTCATGTGTACAATTCTTGTCAGATTGTTGTTGTCCCCTGCGGAACGCATTGAGGGGGACATGGAAATACCAGGCATCCGTCCGGTCTTGTTAGCGCGCTCACGTGTACAGTTCATGCCAGATTTTTATGCAAGTTATATCATAGGTTTATATTGGCAATATCTTGGACGAGTTCGAAAATCAGTGCCAATCAATTATTTTTAAAAGAGTTATGCCCTTTGAACGCATTAATTTTATGGAAAATTGCATCCTTAGCACTCTCATGTGTACAATTCTTGCCAGAATTTTATGAAACTTATATCATAGGTTTATATTAGCAATGTCTTGGACAAGTTCAAAAATCAGTGCTGATCAATTATTTTAAAAAGAGTTATGCCCCTTTGAAACATTAATAATATTGAAAATTGCATCGTTAGCGCTCTCATTTGTACAATTCTTGCCAGATTTTTATGAAACTTATATCATAGGTTTATATTAGCAATGTTCTGGAGGAGTTCGAAAATCAGTGCTGATCAATTATTTGGCCCTTGGAAACATTAATTTTATTGAAAATTGCATCGTTAGCGCTCTCATGTGTACAATTCTTGCCAGATTTTTATGAAACTTATATCATTCGTTTATATCAGCAATGTCTCTAGATCTGACTTTTTTGAAAATAAGTGCCGATCAAATATTTTTAACTAGTTATGCCCCTTGGAAATATTAATTATATCAGAAATTGCATTGCATTTAATTTGCTCTCAAGCCTTCATTTCTCTGAGATATTTAAAAAAAATAATTTTAAGAACAAAAAAAAGTGGATTTTTTTATAGTTATTGCCCTTGCCCTTGGACAAATAAAATATGTGCAACGCGGGAGACATTGGAAATCCGTTCTTTTATCTAAACTAGACAAAGAAGGATTTTGAAGAGGCTAATAGTTGTCAAAAAAACAAATTTCTGTATGTGAAGTTTAACAACACAATTAATGTGCTGGTCATTAATTGTTTTTATTTAAACATGATGAAATTCACTCCCCATCATTTCATTTTAACAAGCAATTGTTAGTACAATTTATTATGCAGACACTGACAATATGTATTTAACAAGGATTTTCAAACAGATATTGACATGTAAAATCCCTTTGTTCACCATTATGTTCACAATTGCAAATTAAGACAATATATAACTTCATATAATTCCAGGTTGTTCTACAGTTTAAAGAAAGGTTTTGGTCAGATATAAGCTCGCCTGCAGAGGTCTTTGGGAGAGTAGAAACTGAATTTAGCCGGAGAGGATTGTTCGGAATATTTCATGATCTATCCAAAGAAATTGTAAGTAATAAAGTCTATTAAAAAATGTTGGAAATTTGTATAAAAACAAAAATGACATTATTCTATATACTGTTAATTCAGAAATTATTGCGAAGTTTTAATTAATGTGAAAAATGTGACTGGGGGGAGAACCACAATAATAAGAACTCGCAGTCTGATATCTGTTTGCAGATTTTCCTGAAATTGCAATAATTCTTCTAAAATCGCAATTATAAAAGTATGCAATAATATCTGAGTTTACAGTACTTAAAAATGGATTGACTTTTTTCTTGGGGAAAACTTGCATACTGTATCCTTATAATCATATTGTCAATGTATTTGACTCTATAAACATGTTATGTTCAGTCACTAACAGAAGGACATACTGTATCCTTATAATCATATTATCAATGTATTTGACACTATAAACACGTGATGTTCAGTCACTAACAGAAGGAAATCTTGGTTGTATTTTTAAGTATGACTTTTCTTAAAACATTTTCATGACATTATGGAAGAATACAAGTTTGTGAAATTTCACTTTTTATCTAAAATTTAAAAAAATTTGGACGGTTCAAGTGTTACAGTACTAGCATTATTAAAGGGAATTATCATTGTTTATATGAATATTAATTATACTTGACACAAAACAGAAAAAAATGCTCAATGAGTCAGAAATTACTACTTGTAAAAAAACTTTTATTAATAATATATGAGCTGCATCAGATAGATATCGACCTTATGCAAATGAATAGCAATACATCAGTTAACCTATTTCGGGTCAGAAAAATCTCTATGGAGAGTCTGTAACTGTTTGAAAATTGAACTGTTATAAGAAAATCTACAAAACAGACCAAAATTCATTTTTGGAAAATGATGCTATCAGCGGCATGTTTCCGATACCATTGACCAGAACTTACGGAAGTCGAGTATTGCCTCCGCCTACCGCACTCGGTTTCATATTTACTATTTTACATACTAACTGGAATCTGCTTGTATTACCCTACAATCGAACAAAGTGTTGTATTCGGATGGGAACCTGTTTACATACTTTATTTTATTTAACCAAAAAGATATCTTGACCTGTCCATATGTTTTTTGTTATTAAAGGGTATTTGGAGCTATCCCTTTGTTAAATTTTTCATATTTATTCGAACTTTCACTTTTAAGCACATGTCTTACAATCGTAAACAATCGGTATGTATACATGATAAATAGATCCGTTTTGTTACGGTGTTGGACTTTTTACCCTCCAATGATCAGCAATCGCTAGACAAAATAGTTCTCCTAAATAATGTCAGCCTTTCATGCCATTTCAACTTTACAATCATTAAAAAAAGTGAAAATCGGAATCATTTTGATATCCATTGGATACAAACTGGTCTTTATCCAGATTTACGAAGATTTTAAAAATCGGAAATTAGTAATACAGTTTTACCCACGCTCTTTGTTTCTTTGTTTACAAAACAGGATTTCGGAACGTCTCTAGTTTTTAGATCGTAAGTCACGATAAACTCAAACTGAAAGTAAACAGTTGTTTGTAAGACGCAGGTTTACTCACCATAAACAAGCTAAAACGTTCAGTATGGCATATATTTTAGGTTAAAGACGGTCCCATTCATTTAAAAAGCATTTTTAAAGTAGACGATCGGATTATTTCAGGTTTGGGGAACGAGTAAATTATCACAAAGTTCATTTCTTGACGACCTCATAATTTCATCATGTCGATGCCGATGGTACAAATCGATTTTTACTGTTTACTGTCGCTTCTCATGTTTTTTATTTAAACGGTCGTTTATTTTTAAACCCGAACCAGGCATATGCATTCTGTAATTGTGCAAATCTTCGTTCTTTGGTCAATTGGCTTATGGATAGTTGTATCAATTTCAACTCTTACATTAATTTTTTTTTAATATATTACACATGCATGGCAGTACCTTTCCAATTACTATTTATGTGTTGTGTCTAAATTAAAGTTGTAACACTTTATAGTGACTGGAAAGGGTAGAAAAATTCATCAGATGAGAAAAGGCTGAAGATACTTCAAACGGCACCGAATCATTAGATATTGCATCTTATAAAAAGAAACTGAGATTTGGATAGTTCCACTTCAAGGTAAAAATGTTTATCTCTTGTGAAATGAAATAAAAAAAATATTGTAACACTGTAGTTAATTAATAAAGATACTATTACGTGTATTTCTGTATTGGCCTTATTATTGGTTCTCGGCCAGTAGTCAAACGGCACCGAATCATTAGATATTGCATCTTATAAAAGGAAACTGAGATTTGGATAGTTCCACTTCAAGGTAAAAATGTTTATCTCTTGTGAAATGAAATAAAAAAAATATTGTAACACTGTAGTTAATTGATAAAGATACTATTACGTGTATTTCTGTATTGGCCTTATTATTGGTCCTCGGCCAGCACTGAGTATTGGCCTTCCGCTTCGCCTCAGACCAATACACCCAAGACATGGACCAATAACAAGGCCAATACAGAAATACTTACGCAATGATATTATAGAATGACAGTATGGTTCAATAGCGGGAATCAGCCCCTTAACTACTTTTTACATAAATATTAACTTCTGGCTTCAACGCTTTGTTCGTCTTGTCTGGAGATCTTGCTGTAGTTCCAGTTCAGCAAGCATTTTAGAGACGTATCCCGTCCATCCTCTTTTGACTTGTAATCTCTGGTGATAGATTTTGCCGCTTGACATTGTATCCTTTCAAGCTTGTTTTTATTTTGTTACCGTGTAGGGGTCCCATACTATGGCTCCATATTAAATTATAAGATCCATTCCTAAAGATCTAGATCATTGTTCTAATCTGACATAAATTTCAATAACTGGAATGCTACCCAAGTTGAATATATGGTGAACCACGAGAACAGCATTATCACTATTGAAATTGTGTTTAATACCATGATTGTTCAATGTCATTAACTTAAATGGAGACAGACATTTGACCTGAAAGACATGAAAGGTGGTGTGGGAGTGCAAAATCAAAAACTAACTGACTATGATATATGGTTAAAGAATGAATATCAATTACATGGGTCAACATGGTCAAGGGCAGAGTTGTTATAAAATAACAATATGGCAGAGAAGTGGTTTCAAGCTTCATATAAAGCGACCTGACTGACATGAAATAAAAATTCGAAGGAGTATCCCTATTTGTCTAATCTTCAAGGTGAAATAAAACTAGTAAAACAATATTATACTATTGTCTAAATATACAGAAATATAATTTGCTTCAAGTAACAGAAATAACTAGGTCACTAGTAACTTATTTAATGAGTATGTGGGGTATAAGAGCTTGCTAACAACAGGCTCTTCATAATCATTTGGTTTGAAATGGATACTAGTAGTCTATATTCTTGATTTAGAAAAATGTAATTGCAAGAAAAAAATCACATTACTTAGAATACTTTAGATCATTCAGGTAGTCTTTTTTTATATGTACAAAAGAACAGCCAGTAGTCATTTGATATTGTAGATCATTCAAATAGTCTTGACCTTTTTATTAGTACAAAAGAACAGCCAGTAGTCATTGGATATTGTAGATCATTCCGGTAGTCTTGACCTATTTATTTATACAAAAAAACAGCCAGTAGTAATTGGATACTGTAGATCATTCAGGTAGTCTTGACCTATTCATTTGTCACATATACGAATATCAATTATATGCTTACGAGACATGTTGCAATGTTTAACTTATTACGACATGTGAAAATCAAGACTTGCATAAAAAAAATCTCAATATTAGAGACAGTGGCGTCATTTTTCCTCAGAGCTTTCAGCTCTTTGATTAATTTTGTATTTGAATGTTCCAAAATCAATCAAGGTCTTATACATGTACATGTTTATGTGCACTTGCATAAGGTTGATTTCTATCCGACACAGCTCATATATAGCCATATATATTGGAGTAAATGACCAGTGAATTTTCTGATCAGTTAAACTTAATTGCACTTTTTATATTCATGATATATGTCCATTTTGTATTTGTAGGCTAGTGGGAAAAGTTGTTATATTTTATCAACACATATATGTGGGGATAGTGTAGAAATTCTGAAACAGAAATCAGATGAAGAGATAGTAGCAATGTGTATAGAAACGCTCTCAGAACTCTTCCCTAAGAAGGTAGGCTTAGTAAATTTCTCATGGAAATGAGGTACAAAAGAAATAGAAATTATTCTGAAATATTTCTCAAAATATTGGCATACATGACATTTAGCTATCTTATTTATTTAAGGTTAGCATACACAAATTTTCAAAGAAGCTTTAAGTTTCACCCACACAGTTTAAAATATAATGAGAACATTTGCTTGCACATGTCCTAAGGCAGGAACCTGATGTTCAGTGGTTGTCATTTGTTGATGTGGTTCATAAGTGTTTCTCGTTTCTCGTTTTTTATATAGATTAGACCGTTGGTTTTCCTGTTTGAATGGTTTTACACTAGTCATTTTTGGGCCCTTTATAGCTTGCTGTTCGGTGTGAGCCAAGGCTCCGTGTTGAAGGCCGTACTTTGACCTATAATGGTTTTACTTTTATATATTGTGACTACGATGGAGAGTTGTCTCATTGGCACTCATACCACATCTTCTTATATCTATATATAGCAGAGATTGAAAAAGATTGTGAAACATGCAATGTTAGCTGAGGTGACACCTTTCTGACTTCATGTTGGTGCTGTGTAAAATTTAGGGATAATGTGAATAACTATATCCCTCAAAAGTGCAGTTATTTAAAGAAAAACGCGTAACAAAATCATGTAATTTCAGAAAGTGCAGTTATGTCCTGAAATACTTGTATATCAAAACATGTATTTTCAAAAAATGCACCTATGTCTTGAATTACACATCAAATTCATGTTATTCAGAAAGTGCAGCTATATGTCTTGAATTATAAATATTAAAATCATGTATTTTCAGAAAGTGCAGTTATGTCTTGAATTACATTTGTCAAAATTAATGTATTTTTTTATGCCCCACCTAGGGGCATTATGTTTTTTGGTCTTTGCGTCCGTTCGTCCGTCTGTCTGTCCCACTTCAGGTTAAAGTTTTTGGTCAAGGTAGTTTTTGATGAAGTTGAAGTCCAATCAACTTGAAACTTAGTACACATGTTCCCTATGATATGATCTTTCTAATTTTAATGCAAAATTAGAGTTTTGACCCCAATTTCATGGTCCACGGAACATAGAAAATGATAGTGTGAGTGGGGCATCCGTGTACTATGTTTAGAAAGTGTAGATATGTCTTAAATTACACATAACAAAATAATGTACTTTCAGAGAGTCAGGTTATCATGGTTTTGTATCAAAATCCTATATTTTCAGAAAGTTCCAAATCCACAGAAGTACTTAGTAACCAGGTGGTACAAAGACAAATATGTACAGATGGCTTATAGCCACATCCCAGTAGGAGCTAGTGGAGATCTGTATGACGATATAGCGGAAGACGTTCAAGGCAAAATTTTCTTTGCCGGAGAAGCAACAAATCGTCAGCATCCTCAATCTGTTACTGGAGCATATATCAGTGGTATGAGGGAAGCAGAAAAAGTGTTCACGTCAATGGCAGTCAGTTGATGGTGTATGGTGATAGGAAGAATTTTTTGCTGTTTGAATTCTATTGATTATTATGAGTAATAAGACTTTTTCCGTCTTCAATAAGCAGAAATAACTGCATGTTATTTTTTTCAGTTTACAAAGACAAAAGTTGTAGACTCCTGTTTTCGTACTTTATTATCATTTAAAACAAAAATATTTATATTCTGTTTTGATGAAATACCATTTAAAGCATTTCCTGAGATAATATTAAATCTGTTAATATTGATAGATGTAATTCTTTTTACAGTTTTGTAGAATAAGACTGACACATATCTATCACCAGAATCTGATCACATCAATTTCTTATTTATAAATATATATATATATATCAACAGAACAGGAAAAGAATACCAAAGATTGGAGACCAGGTTTCATGAAATATAATTTTAAATATTTTGATATCAGAATGACTCGATGCTTTTCTACCAATGAAGATTGTAGGCTGATCCTTAGGGTTTCTATTTCTAGTTGGATAATATTGTTGGGTTGCTGTTAAATTGCGGTAAAACCTATTATAATTATTTTTGATACAAGTTTGTAGTTTGGTACTGGGTTCTTTGTGTGCTTCATAATGTAAAGTATAAGTTCTAACAAATACAGACCATCAACTATTTTTTTTAATATTTATGGTCAGTAAAATGATACATGATTTTTTTAATGAAATTGATATAAAGTTGATTTGAATATATTTGATTTTTTAATGAAATTCATACAACGTTGATTTGAATTTTAAAGAAATTGATTAATTAGATTTTTATAAAAAATAAATTTTGACAATTTTGAATGATTTTTTTAGTATTTTGACAAAAAATATTTATAATTTTTGATTGATTTTTGTATTTGTTTAAAAGTAGATTTAGTATTGTTGTTTTCTATTTTAATTACATAATATTACACAGTTCACAAAGCAAAATTTTACAAAATAGGCCACTCACAATAATAATTTGTTTTTCAAACCTCTGTCTAATATTTACATCAGCAATCTCGTATGGATTTTTTTAATGGTTTGAGGATGCTATATGTCACTTTTAGAAATAGTAAATATACCTAAGGGCTGTTCCATAAAAACATACATGGTACCCAGGTAATGCACTTTAAAAATGGTGTAACCCACCTAAAGAGGCAAATTTAAGATAACGCTTACATTTCCACTTCTGAAAAGTACTTTATACCTCCCCTAGATGAGATTTCTTAGTGCCTTTTCTGGGTCCCATGTATGTTTATATGGAATAGACTTTATACTGAAAAGACCATTAAGTTTTATTATACGTCATGTCAAATGCCAGATTTTGATTGGTTAATATGAGGGTGTTAATTTACTCTATTCTATGGTAAATACTCTATTACCCTTCACAGAGACGCTTGATCAAGTGTGCACTTTATTAAATACGGATGGATGTTATGTACAAGACGTCAAAGTTTATTACTTTGAATTTGAAATTTAATCGACAGTAATAACAGAACATTCAGTATAATAAATTAAATAACACATATCTGAGAGGGTGATAGAGCAGATTGTTACCCCTTGAAAAGACATTGTCAACCTTGGCTTTGCCTCAGTTGACAATGTTTTCTCGGGGTAACAATCTGCTCTATCACCCTCTCAGCTATGTGTTATTTATATAATGTCTTAACAACAGAGTTCAATCTACACACTTTCGGTTTATGCAGCTTTTGGTGTAGATAGGTTTTACTGTATTCTGCTTTAAATACTAATTTAGGAATAAAAGACCTCTGAAACATACTGCTTATCTTGAGCTTATTTGAATTTTGTCATTTGATAATTATATATTATTTGTATTTATTTAAATAAGACCATAGGCCACAGATTTATTGTTATATTTTCATATTTTTTCCGAAATTTTTTATAGCTGAAGAACAAAATAAGTCTTTATTTGACATGTATGCTTTCAATTTATTCAGAGTTTTTAACATGTCTGAACTTTCTGCTCTTTATCAAACACTTGTAATGTTGTAAAATGAGAATTTGAGAAATTAAAATAATGATGAACCAAAATGAAAGTCACATATATTCATCATCATAAAAGATTAATAATTTCAGTGAAATGATTTCTTGATGATTGTACATTTAAAGCTGATAAAACGTAATTAAACCAAAAACAAATATAGTTTCCTGCCTCCTTAATTACTTTACATGTTCATGCCTACCACAACACATTTTTGTTTTAGCACTGTTAAAGTCCAGAACATATCCCTATATAGTTAATGTTAAATATTTAAAAAAATGAATTATTTTACCTACCTACCAGGTTACAAGTTCATATATTTTTTGGCCTAAGGCAATTCATTTTAACATATATTGAAATATACTCTAGAATGGAACTCAAAATCTGAAATGGCATGTATGGATGGGTGAAAAAAACCACTGTTCAGACCAAAATACTGTTTTACGTGTATGTAAATGTTGAAATTGCTTCTGTAGATGGATACCCAAATTTGTGATTATATTTCCATAGTTCTGCAAATGTTAAAAGAGAGCAACCAATACAACAGCTAATATGTATATTTTTTTTATCTTTTATTTATTTAAAGTTATTTTTTTCATGTCACAAATTTTTAATGCCTTTTGCTGCTTCTGTCCCCATTTTTTTAACTTTAAACTTTTTGATGATAATATGTAAGAGATGTAAAGTGTGGATTCACTTAATTTCATTGGTATCAATTTTCGTGGTTGGAGAAAAAATGCTATTTTGACAGTTCTTTATTTCATGGTTTCATCATTTGCTCCCATCATAGAAATTAAATATTTGTATTTTGTCAAGCATTTTAATTCATGGTTTTCCTCTGCCCATGTTATCCACGAAAAAATTGGTATCTCACAAACATTTATAATGAATTCACATGTACAGTATGAGAAAATAAGAATCTTGCATTTTCCAGTCATTGGGTGTGTGTTTTTTCTGAGTTACATGTAATTGTCATATCATATCTTTGTAATAGTGGGGCTTTTGTGTTAAGTTAAATATGTTGTATTTAATTCCTAGTAGATTTATACTTTACTTGAATAAGGTTAGTATAGTTGTTTTGCCTCTTTCCACCGACAATGGTGTTTCAACCACACAATAGTGGGAGGGAGAAGGTGGTCTTTTATTATTACCCATGTCCATCTTTCTTTATTATGAAATCTAACCATTTTGATTTTTTTTCATTATGATTGTAGATATTTTGAATATTATGTATATAAAGTCTTCAATATGATATGGTCATGAACACTTGTAAATTTTTACATAATTAGTATAAGCAAGTAAAGGCTCAAGCAAAATTATTGTTGAATAGAATGAAATATTGTTAGGGCATTATTGAGATGTGTAGTTTATTTGGTAGTAGTTTAAAGGTTACATGAGTTTGATAAATACCATTGAATATAAAAATAAGAAGATGTGGTATAATTGCCAACAAGACAACTCTCCACCAGAGACCAAATGACAGAAGTTTCCAACTATAGGTCACAGTATGGCCTTCAACAATGAGCAAACCTCATACTGCATAGTCAGCTATAATAAGATCAAAGTTCTTGTTGACAAGGAGACAACTATCCAACAGAGTCCTAATGAAACGGATTTAAGTTACTTCAATATTAATGATTTTTACTTTTACTGGTCAGGAGTTATGGATCTCAATTGATAGGAAAATGGCATTTTACATGGTTTCCTTGCAATAAACTGTTTGACCAATGCTTTTCAAATTTTAAGATCATGTTGTTACTGATGACAAAAAGAAGTCAAGTTTGATATTGATGATTTTCACGATTGCTGATGAAGAGTTGTGGCCCCTGTTGCTTTCACTATGACACTAATACCTGGTTTGCTGTCATTTTGAAAGATTCTGGTAACAATTTTATACATGTAATCAGATTATAAATATTCAGTGGTATTTTCAAACATGGTGTATATGTTGTTTATGTTTTACTTTTTAGAAAGTTTTAGACAGATTTATTTAAATTGTTAAAATTTTTGTAAAAGTTAAAATTATTTTTGTACTAATTTAACTATTTTTGTAGCAGTTGAAATAATTATTAAATATTGAATTGTTTGATATTTGTTTTGCAGTTTTATTTATAGATTAGAAATACAACATTCTGTAATTAATGTTAGATGGATAGTTTTAAAAATATATGGCTTTCTTCAAATTTTAAAATGTTCACACTCCTTAATATTGAATTGAAGTGCAGGTGCTCCCTTAAAGACGTTCCTGACCATACCCTTTTCTTGAAATATTGTGTAAACATATATATCAATATTTTGTGTTATCTATTTTCTGATGGAATCAATATGACCAGTACTCTTTCTCTTGATAATTGAAATATTAAGTCTTTCAAGAAATATTCTCTTTATAGACTTTTAAACGTTTTTTTTTGGAGGAAAACTGCAAAAATTGAAAAATGACACTCACAAAAACTTAAGAAATTGTGCAGACTGGTACATGAATATTAGATAGATTTGTATTTAACAATTGGTTTTTTTTTTTGCACTTTTTAAAATATTTTTGTTACCATTCTAAGGAGCTTTTATGGTTTTAAGAGAAATTAAGGAAAGGTCATTAAGATAATTGCCCTAAAACATTAGCAAAGGATAAAACTTTTAATTTCCAATGCAGTATTTCAGAATGTATGAGCAATTGTATTGTTTGTACACCCAAATGAAAATGACACATAATTTTGAATATAAAGTTTGCTATTGTTAAAATCTTAGTGTTTTGATATAAATTTTCTGATCATATTACCTAGAATCCTTTACAATTTTTGCTACATGTTTTTACAGAAATATAACTTATTGAATGTGTTTATTTGTGAAATTACTTATAGTTTCTCATTATAGATTCTTGTAATTATTTGTAGGAACTTATCAACACATTAATGAACATGCTGTATAAAATGTTTACAATAAATCTGTGAAATTTCTTGTTTTCCCTCTAATGCTGTATAACATCCATTTTGAATTTGTCCACCATTGAAGAAAATTACAAGTTTTCCCATAAAATCTAGCGTCCGAGAAATCATTTGATTGATTGATTGATTACTAAACAATAAGTGGCAATTATTTCATGCATAATCAGGGCCAGCAAGTATCAACAATTTATTACAATAGGCAGCTCTCGAAGGTGAGACGGCAGGGATGAAGTGCAGGAAATATGTACTGCTACTTTAAACAATGGTATAGGCAAACATTTGAAGTTGCAGAACAATAATGATAGTTTTGCAAAAGTCATTAGGTGAATTTGGGCAAAACTGATGTAACTCCAAGGAAATTTCCAGAACTAGAAAATGGTGAATAAGTATAACAAAATCTAACCAGAATAAATAGTTAAAACAGTTCACAAATCTCATAGATAAAATATCCTGAGGTGATATCATTATTTAAATGATAGGTTAGAGTATTAAGGACTTGTATACAAAGTTTATGTGTGAATTGGTTCAGTTTACTTCTTAATAATAGAAAACCATAAAGTGTGTGTGCTCTTTACACATCTGTAAACTCTGGGAAAATATGTTTAATTCTTTAATATAAAAATAAGATGCGGTATGATTGCCAATGAGACAATTCGCCACCAGAGCCAAATGAGGTAGAAGTTAAAAACTATAGATCACAGTTGCTTCTTCAACTACTGCAATGAAAGTAACTGAAGCAAGACAGCAATTCTAAATTCTGTTGTTGTTGTTGTCAACATGTAGGTTCAGTCTGTGGTTAAAGTTTTTGTCTGGCCTGTTACAAAAGTTAAGAATGTGCGACATATGGATGCTAATGCAGTGGCAGCGACAGCCAAAGCAATATGTATAAAGCTTTATATTTCAGAAGGTAAAAGACCTGGATGATTTATACGAAGTTTCTGTTTGTCAAATATTCATTTCATGGTTCAGAGATTGCTTAAAAAAAGGTATCTCAGATACTACAAACAATAGGTCATGACCTTACATATTAACCTTACTTTCATGGTTCATTGGTCCTTGTCATATTTTGAAGTATGGTCTGTTTCTCAGATACTACAAGCAATAGGTAAACTATGTTTGATATATGGAATGATTTTAATCGGTGCATGTCTGTCTGGTAGGTTTCATCAGACCTTGACCTAATTTTTATGGTTAATTGGTCAATGTTAACCTGTCATAATGAGGTCTTTCTCGTATACTATAAGCAATAGTTCAATTATATTTGGTGTATGGAATGATTGTAAGATGTAATTTTCCGTCTGACCCTGTGCTATATATTTCCCTTTACGATATGATAGTAGTCTGAAGAGCACCATTTATCCTGCTGGGAGATAAGTGGACACAGTGTTAAGTTATCGTATCTTAGAGAGACGCTGTTAAAAAAGCAAAACTGATCCGCAAACTAAGATCTAGACACTAAA